AGGGTTAAGTCACTCGGGTCTCGCCTTACAAGCCCCGGGCTCTGAGCTCGTTCGATAAGACGAGGATTATCTTCGGTACTCGGGTAATTGGGTGACGTTGTTTTCGCGCGTCCCAAGGAAGTTTCGTGCAAATTTCACCGCGCGGCAGGCGCGGAGGCGACGGAGGGGGCGAAATTTGCGGAACGTTACGTTACGTTACGTTACGGGGCTCGACGGTGCAAGACGTTCGTCACGAGGAGACGAAGGCTTTCGAAAGGGCCGACAAACTTGGCGCGATGTAGCGCTCGGGTCCCGGAGGGTCGTCCCGATTGAAAAGGTGGATGAGTTTGCGCGCGGAGATGCAGGGAGGCAAAATTTTTCGAATCTCCGGCATCGATCTGACGCGCGAGGCTTCGCGCCGCTTTCTCGCTTTCTTACTTCGAGTCAGCAGAGTTGAATATTGCAACGTGCATGCGAGCATTCCGGTGAAATATACTGCGCGCGCGTGTATGTGTGTGTGTGTGTGTGTGTGTGTGTGTGTGTGTGTGTGTGTGTGTGTGTGTGTGTGTGTGTGTGTGTGTACGCGCGCGCGTGAATCTACTTTTATTATTGCCAATATACGTCGTACAGTCTAGTCAGGGTCGAATCGCGACTGGTTTCCATTTGCAGGGCTGCGTAATCAGACGCCAAGTGAAAACAGTCTTGGAATCGTCCTTTCCGATGCGCGATACTCGTCTTCTATCTCTCTCCCTCTCTCACACACACACACACACACACACACACACACACACACACACACACACACACATAGATGCGGAAAAGCGAGACTGAAGAAGACGAGAATCCGACATCGACCACGCTCCCAGTCGTCGGTGATGATGAATGAAAATTCATCCGCGCGGGTATTGTCCGCGCGATCGATATTCTCAAGTTTCCCCGGCCAGGCGATTCGTGCCGGACACTGCACTGCAGCCCCATTAATCTTTCCGTGCGCCTTCTTCAGAGTTGTTCAACTTAGCAGCTGCGTGAAAAGCGCGCGACCACAGCGTAGACCGTATACTGTCTGCAATAACAAAGTGGTAAAGACGTAATACAAGCCCTCGCGCGCGCGCGCGCGCGCCGCACAGCCGGTGGTGCACAGCCCTGGATATGAAAGCCAGTCTTTAAGGCACAAAGAATCGGGGCGATTGCGAGCAGCGCGGGCAAACTCAGGGCGATAGAAAAGCGCGCACGTGAATGAGGACGAATGTTAAAAACGGCCGTCCACCACCAAATTATTCATATCATCGCATCGTCGGAGACGACGACTGTCGAGAGGAGGGGCGGGGGAGTGAGACATAAGTATTCGACTTTGCGAAAAGTGTAACGCGCCAATGTCTCTCCGAAACGGCTCGAGACACGACATCGACGAGTTCCCTTTTTTTTTTACGTTTTCTCTTACGTTTCGTGCAATGGAGGGCTAAATTTTCTATAGGATGATCTCGTGCGTGCGTGCGTGCGTGCGTGTGTGCGTGCGTGCGTGCGTGCGTGCGTGCGTGCGTGCGTGCGTGTTTGCGTGCGTAGCGATCAAACGGCTAAATCAATAAAGAGAAGACTCTCAGATGTCCAAAAAGATCGGACACCGATCGGCCGGAAAGTTGTGCTGCTGACAATTGGACGTCACCTGATCTTGCGAAGCTACCGTTCGAGTATTGAGAACAAGAGTGAAAAGATAAGATAAGAAAGATCGATCGAAAAAGGGCTTACATGTACGGAAGAGAAACGAAAACGTCTCTTTTTAGTCATCGCGCTATCGCAAAAGAAGCAGCGTAAAGGCTCTCTTCACGGTGCTTATTAGATGATACTTGACGGTTACACCCGAAATGTACGAATATATATGTATATGTATATGTATATCAGGCAGTAGTCCGTTTATTGTGTGAAACAACGCGCCTAGAAAAGTCGACGCGCGCAAATTTCCGCACTTAAAAATAATCCTTATCTAGCTAACGTCGTGAGGCTGCGTTCCAAGCGGATCGTTATCAAGAGAGACGAGTGTCGGGGATATACACGACGCCGGCGCGAAGGGACCGATTTCGAAACGACGGAATACATACGACAAATCATGATGTAAGACCAAGCACTCGGTGTGTGCGAGATTGCACGATAGCGCCGTATAAAACTTGGTTACAGAGAATATACGCGGATGTATATACAAAAGCAACTTTACGTTTGTGCGTAATAAAATATCAAAGTTACAATACGTATATATGTGTGTGTGTGTGTGTGTGTGTGTGTATTCTCCTCACGTGAAGGTATGAATCGCGCGTACTATTATTCAAGAAAATGGACACGTTTCTCCGAAGCAGACAGATTTGCGACGCGCGGGACATGATACATCGATCCGATCGTCGTAGTCTTTTGCGCGCTTTAAAAAGAACGTCCTTTCGCGTCTTCGAGCACGATTCACGTTGTCGGTCACGTCGTCGGACCGAGGAGGGAGCGAAACGATACGATTGTGCGGTCGATTTTGTTCGCCGCGAAATCTGCGAAATCAAGTTCGAGCTGCCCGAAAGAGAAGCGCTCTTTTCGAAGATGCGATTCGACGGCGGAAAGTCGCGATTAGTTTCATCGGGAGAACAAACGACGACTGTGTGTTCGCAGAGCCGACCGAACGATTTGCGAAAACGGCGTGTGGAAATTGCTCGATCGATAGCGCATACGCGCCTATATGATATGCTTTTATCGTTCCTTTCTGCACTTCCTTCTCCCCCTGCTCCTCAGGCACAACAGAGATATATATATATATATATGACGTAGAGAAAGAGGCGCTCAGCTAGTGTTACAGAAGGAGCTGTAACCGATAAGCCGCGTGCAAAAGGGGTGCAAGGATAGCCGCTTCTCCCGCTCTGATATTACAAAAATGATACCCCTCACGGTGATATCTGTTTCTTATTTTTTTTTTTTTTTGGGGGCTGGGGGGAAGGGCAGAGGAGTTTGACGGTTTGGTCCCGGCGATATCCACGACGTGCGGGAAGCTGACGCGAGAGAGTCCGCATTCTCACCGCATTCGCCGCTGAGGTGTCAACCGCTGACGAAACGTTGTTTTCTCGCGAAAAAGATTGCGAGTCGCGAGACTGCAACCTTTTGACTGACATTGACGCAACCGCGCCGCGCCGCGCCGCGCCGCGGTGAGAATCGGACGGACATCGTACGTACGTCCGCAGATACGTGCGGAAAGATTTACGACGGTAAGAGGGTGTACGCTAAAAGAGTGTGTGTATGTGTGTGTGTGTGTGTGTGTGTGTGATGCGCGCGTTTGCGTCAGTACGCGTCAGTACAACGCGATTCCCTACTTTGGTCTCCTCTCGGATTTTTGCCATGGGTCTTACATGGGGAATATTATTAACATTATTAACAATGGGAGTGGCCTTACGGAATATATATATATATATATATATATATATATACGCGAGTAAATTGATTGGAAGATGGGAAGAGATTCTTCCGCGATGAAGCGCGCGATCTCGGTGCGGTTTCTCTTTTCTTTCTTTCTATTTTTTCTCTCTAATCAAAGTGACATGTGTATAAACCCGAGCGCGATGATATCGACGATGGTGTCGTATAGTCTCAACGTACCGCGGATAAAGTTCGCGTCCCCGTTTCTACTGTGCGCGCACATTCCTCGCCACAATGTGTGTCTCGGATAACCGTCTACCTTAAATTTAGAAGCCACGCTTGATACACGGTGTGTTTACACGAGTCACAAACACGGTGCGGTCTGGTGGACGGTATAAGATATTTGGCTGCACTCTTGCGGGGTATTTTCGTTTTACGCTCGCCTATTAACGACTATACCCGGAACGAGACGGTGAACGAAAATGAAACTGCGAAAAGTAGCAGAAACAGACGAAAAGGAACAGATATCGGAAAAGAGGAAACGTTCTCTTCCTTTTCGATCGGAGGAGAAACGGCGGAGGTATATATTTCTATAACCGATAATTCTATAATCGCAGACGATATTTAGCCGAAATTGCTCCGATCGCGATGTTGCACGTTCAGCACGCGGAGCACTTGCAGTGAGAGAGAGAGAGAGAGAGAGAGAGAGAGAGAGAGAGAGAGAGAGAGAGAGAGAGAGAGAGAGAGAGAGAGATTAGGATTATTGTTTTCGTAATAAATATTCCAGATGAAAGTAGGTAAATGCGCGCCAATGCGGTAAGCGATAAGAGCGTGTAAAAAGGTTCCGTCGCGAGGCGTAAATTATACAAGTCGTATCGCGACGTTTATTATCAAAGCACGAAAACGAAAAATCCGATCCGGACGAGATCCCTCGAACGAGACGATGCTTCTTCGATTATCGATAATACGTGGCGTTAAATACAGTGATTGGCGTTTATACGCCAATCGTCAAGTGCGTTACTTGGCGAATCCTTAAAAAATACAATAAATCACACAAGCGAAGGAAGGAGGGTAAGGTTAGTCTAAAGAAACGAGTTGCCTACTCGCTACACAAGATCTCTCCTCAACTTCCTAATGCGGTTTGCCTATTTAGATCAATAGATGACTCGCGGTGGTATAACCGCCGAGAGACTCTCGCATCCGCTTCTTCTTTCTTTTCTTTTTTTTCTTTCTTTCTTCTTTGTTCGTCTCGATGATGTATATCTACATGTGTGTGTGTGTGTGTGTGTGTGTGTGTGTGTGTGTGTGTATACCTATTGTTTATCCGGAGTCTGCAGTCCGGGCTGGAGGAATTTTTATCTACGCTTCCGCGGGACCAAGACAGCCGGAAGTTTGGGTTAACCACGGCAGTGGAGAATAATCTTGATTGCAGTTTAACCCAAAACCTCCTGCGAGCGACTCGGACGGCATGGAAGCCGTAAATAAAAATTCCCTCAGCCTCAATGTACGACCCGCCGGTAACGAAAGAAACGAAAGACGAGAAAAGAAAGAGAGACGCAAAAGAGATTGGCCGCCGTGAGAGCCGTTCTCGCGGATTCGCTCTTTTTGTCCCGACGGTAATATGTATGCCTATTATATATTTTGTGGAATCTAGAGAGAATTAAGCGGGAATCAAGATTATTCTCTATTGCTGGGCAGTTTCCAGACGGATTCGAGTCCCTCCACTTTTTTCGGGGCATTGCTCGGTAGTGGAGAATAAGCTTGGTTCTCTAGCTTATAATCCATGATATAAAGGGACGAGCTGTAACGTCGCGCATAGTATATAGTGACGGCGCGGCATAGTGGTGAACAACCAATGCCAGTCGGGGGAAATCGGTCTCAAATGCGGCAATCAGTCGGTACAAGAGTCGCGCGCGTGTAAGGAATTAATAGGGGAGAGAAAAGAGAACAAACGAAACGAATGCGAGAATGCGGGATAAAAGCGCGAACAATAACGTGCGGCATAAAATACGACGGCATTTTCAAGGTCGCAGGACGCGAGGCGAAAATTGTTCGCGTCGATCGGGGATCGGCGAGTGCGCCGCGACAAAGAGATATGTATCCAGAAATCAGACCGAGAGCGAATGGCGAATGGCGAGAATGGCGAATGGCGAACCCCGATTCACTTGGCGTGTGGACTACACTAATCGCGCACTCTGTCGCGCAAATTCGCACAGCACCACCGTGCACTCTCTCTCGTGATCTCATACTCTGCTCTTTCCCCTTCTTATGTGCCGATTTGGGACCAGTTCCCAGTTTGGTCGAGAAAAGCGCGCGATTTACTTTGGACGAGTGCGCGCATTCACGGGAACGTTACATCTCATCTTTTTACATCATGGCTTAACCCAAACCTCCGGCTGACTTGGTCCCGTTGGTGCGTAGGTCAGAGATCCTCCGGTCCTCCTCTGCAACCCACCATACGAGAAAAAAAAAGAAAAAGAGACACTAGAGATTGGCCGGCACAGGGTCAACACAGGGTTTGAGATTCGCGCGAGAAAAATCGCGCGCAAGCCACCTCGTTCTTCTCTTCTCGTCATTATTTATTCTTTCGCCGAGCAAGAGCAAGAGAGCGCTTGTGCTGGCTACAATTCCGCCCTCGTCGGAGACGCGGCGCCCCGAACGCGGTTCGGTTTCGAACATTTGGGCTTGGTTCTAACTATAATTACGGGAGTCATTTTTCTCTTCTTTATGTGCATGTACACGTAGTTGGCGCAATTGCATATCGAGCGCGCCATATAAATGCGAATGCCACGCGCGTCCCGATGCAGTTTCATTTTACGTTTCATTTTACGTTTCGTGCACGATGATGACGTGGACATTAACACGCGAAATTTAAATCCGACGGTGTGTATATATATATATATATATATATATATACACATACGCGAGAGAAAGAGAGAGATTATCCCGAGCGGAAATATAAGCCCTTTGAAATGGTAGTTTTGCAGACAGTAATTTATGTTAATGTCCTCCCCGCCGCCGTGTGATCCCCGTCCTTTGTTTTTCGGCTCGCGCTTACATTTCAATAACACGCGCCTCACACACGGCTTGACCGAAGTGTATCGCGCGCGCAAATATACCATCATCATTGCGCGGTGAGATCGCGCAATGCCTCGCCTCGAACGACTCGAGCGGATAAGTGATCTGATAAAAAGTCCAAGTACAATGCGTCGCGTGACGCGGTCTTTGCTTGGCGAAAATATCGCGAACAAAGGTGAGCCGTTATTAAAGCCGCGCGCAGCACAAACGGGCAGCAGAAACGACGTATAAACGACGAATCTCTCTCTGTCTCTCTCTCTCTCTCTCTCTCTCTCTCTCTCTCTCTCGTCTCGTCCCGCAAACGCGAGTAATTGGTAATCAGCAGCGAGTACGAGAAGCCGTTAGATCGCGCGCGCGGGTAAGTGGAATATTCGCGAATGAGATGACGGAGAAGGGCGGGGCGGGGCGGGGCGGTGGGGGGGGGGGATCGGACTCGAGTCTACGAGAACTATTACGAGAAGAGCGCCATCGACTTACCTGTTTTGGTGGCGAACGGGTCCTTGGGATGATTCGTCTTGATGGCGTTCATCCTACGATTCTGCGGGCCTTGGCCTTGACCGGTGCACGCGACGCCGGGCGTCTGACCCATGCCGGGGCCGAGGGGCCCGCTGGTGACGGAACCCCCTCCAGACTGCAAGTGCGACATTTGCTGGCCGCAACCAGGGGGCCCGACGCCGGTACCGGGTCCGCCGGTCACCCCGGGTGGCGCACCTGGTGCCCTCACACGTGGCTGTTCGACCGGCAATACGCGGCGTCTCTTCTTCGGTAGCTTGGCTCGCGCCTGCGTGTGACTGTAATACATCGCAAAGTTGCTAACGATCACGGGCACCGGCAGGGCGATCGTGAGGACACCGGCCAGTGCGCAGAGCGCGCCGACGAACATGCCGATGTAGGTCTTGGGCACCATGTCTCCGTAACCGACGGTGGTCATGGTCACCAGCGCCCACCACAGACCAAGAGGTATGCTCTTGAAGTCGTTCTTGGGATTGTACTGGGTGCGCTCCGCGTAGTAGACCAGGCTGGCGAAGATGACGATGCCGAGGACGAGGAAGAACACCAACAACGTGAGCTCCTTGGCCGAGGCGCGAAAGGTCTGTATCAGGATCTTGAGGCCCGAGGAGTGGCGCGTGAGCTTGAACAGCCTCATTATGCGTATGATACTCAAGAACTCGAGGATGTCGGCGTTCTCCAGGTGGGCGGCAAACCGCTGCAACGCCAGGTCGACATAGAAGCTCAAAGTAGCGACCATGTCGATCAGGTTCACCGAGCTCTTGATGAAGACGCAGCGATTCGGGCTCGCTGTGATACGTATCAGGAACTCCAGAGTGAACCAGGCGTTGCAGACGCACTCGATGTAGAAAAAGACGTCGTGGGCGTTGGTGCGGGTCTTGTCTACCACCCAGGACGTCACGTTGTCAATCCTTACCGAGCGATTCACGATCATCGGCACTCGCATGTCCGGATGGGTTTTCAGGCAAAACGAGAGTATCGAAACGCAAATGAAAAAAACGGAGACTATGCTGATTATCTGCAAAATAATTGGACAGAGACGCTCTCGTTAATCAATTTGGCGAGAAACGAAGAGAGAGAGAGAGAGAGAGTGAGAGAGAGAGAGAGAGAGAGAGAGAGAGAGAGAGAGAGAGAGAGAGTATGTGGAAACACGCGCGCGCGCGCTCGTCGTTTCTCTCCCTCTCTCTCTCTCTCTCTCTCCCTTTATTCGACGGACGAGAATGTTGTACGACTCACGACGTGGCGAGAATTAATTATAGAGCGCAATCTATATATATATATATATATATATATATATATACATATACGGTACAAGTATCGAATCGAGTTATGATACATATACACACACTCTCTCTCTCTCGCCCTCACGTCGAGAGTTTGAGCGAGCGCTCGAGTCGTCGTACCTTAGCTGCGACGGAGGAGTAGGGCTCATCGAAAAGCGACCACATCTGAGGCTTGAGCTTCTGCCACCACGTGAGAGATCCCTCGTAGTACGCCTCCTCGAAGCCGAATTTCCTCGCCAGTTCCTCTTCGGTAGGCTTCTCGGTGTCGAGGTCCAACCTGTCGAGGACCGTCAGCGTTTCCTGCGTATCCCGATGCTGCAAGGGCGTCGGGTCGAGGGGGTTGGGAAGAGAGAGAGATGCAACAAGGATTGTTATTCGTACCTGCGAAACTCTTTCTCGAATGTGCTTTTTTGTGCTTTGCCTTGGGACAGAGATAAAGCATACGCGTGATAAAGCATACGCGAGCCGTTGTGTGTGAGCCTCCTCGTGAATGAGAATGGAAGCCAGAACCGCCCCGGTTTTGCTCAGCCTTATCGGCGCAGCAGGTTCTTCCCTATTTTGTGCACGTATATTTGCTCGAGATTCTACCTTCTACATCGTCCTCCACTAACGTCCGACCTTACTTTTCGGCTATGCTACTCGCTACTACTACGAAGATTCAAATCCGTAGACCGTGCTGCGTTTCTCTGTGCTCTCTCTCTCTCTCTCTCTCTCTCTCGACATCATATCCACTATCAGTATCAGTATTATTCGTCCTCAAGGTGAGAGAAGAGAGACACAGATAAAAAGGAGAGCTACCCCATCGTTCTCGTAATACTCCATCTATTCATATCCGCGCGTCATCTTGGAAACGACGGATATCGCGAGAGAGAGAGAGAGAGAGAGAGAGAGAGAGAGAGAGAGAGACAGACAGAGGGAGAGAATCTAATAGTACGGTCTAGAGATTGATCGTAGGAAAATGCGCGCGATGTGAGAGAGATCGATCGATCGCGCGCACTACGGGGATATATTAAAGTCAAAGAAAACATCGTTAATTCACGAAAGAAGGGATTGAGAAGCGAAGGCGCGCGCGTTAACGTCGCGCACGTTGAGGTCGCCGCGCGCTGACACGTGGGCGTGATTCCCGGTATAGAGGACGTGCAGCGCACACTCTCTCTCTCTCTCTCTCTTTGCGGCGAATATGATGAATCGCCGCCGCCGCCGCCGCGTGTGCGAGAATAGAAGCAACGCGCTGCGGCTTGCCGGTTAGGCGAAAGATGATAGCTATCGCGGAGGAAGCGGCCGCGGAAACTGACGAATAATTGCGCCGAGCGATTGCGTGTAACATTGATTCGAGAGAGCGCGCGCGAGACGCAATCTCTGCTCGATCAGCGTTCCGCAGAGTGTATATCAAGGTTATCTGTCGTCGCGATGTGTATCGCGCGTCGCGCGTCGCGCGTCGGCGCGCGATCGGCGAGCGATCGGCGAGCGAGCGGAGTGTTTTCAGTTAGCCGCGGCGCGTTTCTAATCTCGTACTCCTCCACATGGTCGTAGGTGATTCGCGATATTCGCGAGAGGGAGCGTCGGCGCTTCTTACGCCGACGCGATTCTTACAAATCGCGCGATATACCTGCGTGTAGGTCATCCAACAGCAAGGCTCGACCTGATTGGAGTCGAGCCCCCAGAAATCGAGCTCCTCCTCGAAGAGCGGGCCGCATACGTCCGTGGGATAATGCAGCTTGCCGGTGCGATAGTAGTTGAGTACCTGGGCGAAGACACCCGGGTGCCTGTCGAAGAAATACTCGTTGAGGATCGGGTCGTAGTTGGCGAGCGCTTCGGTCAGTCTCGAGAGCCTGGTCGCCGGGATCTTCTTCAGGGTCGCCTTGTACGTCTCGTGCCGGATTCCGCCCACGTTCAGAACCACGCGGTTCTCCGCGTCCATGTTTATCAGGTTCATTTTGATCACGGCTCTGCTACCGCCGACCCCGACTCAAGGAAACCCATGTGATCTGCGAACAATTAGCGCTTCTAGATCGCTTCTGGATCTAACCTACTCGGGCCAGGCTGCTTTGTCGTTTCCTCTCTCACCGCGGGGGGTGAGAGCGAAACTCTCTCGCACGCGCGCGCGCGCCGCGATTTTAAACCGAAGCCGATCGATCACAGTCGAGCTATGATTACAGACGGCGGAATGAATTTCGAATTAATTGGATTCGATTTAAATTTCGCGCGGCCGAGCGGCCTCCTAACAGCGTCCGAAATGCAATTTCAGCGCTCCCGCGCGTCCATCCTCCGAATCCCGGTGGGTTAGAATGAGTGACCGGTATAACATTAAGAAACACGAGGAGTGTTTCTTAATGTTATACCGGTTAATCTCGCGATTGCGCCGATTGCGTAGAGCTTGGTCGCGCGAAATTTAAACGCGCGAAGCACGCGATACCTGTAATCTTATCTTCCATTACGCGTTAGAATCACGTACGCGCGCGCGCGATTAACGCCTAAAAAGATTAAGCGGACTCGAGGCTCGACGCGACGCGAGCGAGGGTGATGTTTTATCCTGATGTATTACACACATCCCGGTTCTGGCGATTGCTTGCTTCGACGTGCCTGTAATCCCATTCGGAGCGCATTCGGCGCGCACCGAATACCGACGGACCGTGTCATAATGGTGTCATTGCTGCCTCGAACCCGCTCGTTACACGTTTCAAAGACTGCGGCGGCGACTGCGCGGCGAGTCTCGCTCTACTGCTCTACTTAATATTACTACAAGCGACAACTGTGACGTTTGACATTTAATCAAAAGCCGTTCACACCACGACGTCGCCTCGTGATGTGTCGCGTGGCTCGGACGAGGCACCGGAAATATTGCCGCGGCTCTTTCGAATCTCGCGTCTTCGCGCCGGGGACCGACCGAAAATCAGGAGGATGACTCTCTCGTTCGTCCGAGTTCTCTCGCGTACGCGACGACGGAATATCAGCAGCGTCAACGAGAGGAATAATTGCTGCCAGGTGTGTACGTGGAAGTTGCCGTCGTCGCGGGAGAAGGCGGAGATTACACGCGATCTCGCGAACTCGGAACGAGCAACTCGCGGCACGCGCGATCGGGGGGATTAAATTGCGAATTAAGAATTTAAATGCACGAGCGAGCGATAGAGAGAGAGAGAGAGAGGGAGGGAGGGTGGGAGGGAGAGAGAGAGAGAGAGAGAGGGAGGGAGGGAGGGAGAAGGAGAAATGAGAGCTGTTGAGTCCGTCTATAGCGACTAAATCACATCGTTATCTCACATGTACGACGTCCTTCGCGTTCGCGAGCGAACGAGCGAGCGTTTCTCTCATCGAGAACACTCTCGAGTAATCTTTTCGCGGCGATTTAGCATCGATAGGTGGACGCGCGTAGCCGGCGCGAATTATACAGGCGGAAACTATTAGAACCGTGATAGGTCGATTTACGCGCGACACTTCTCTCGTCGTCTCACACGGACGGTCAAGTTTAAAAAGGGGATCACAGGCGCGCACAGGTGGAATCGTATGTACTACACGTCGTACCGCACGTACGTACGGGACTGTGCGGCCTGTGTTGTAGCCGCGTGATATTTTACCGCGTAAAAGTGAGAAAAAAGAAGATGCGCGGCGAGGGGAAAAAGGAAGCGGCGTGTAGCGTGTAGGAAAGGGCGGCGCGTGAATCAAAGGCACCCAGAGCGTGTATCGGTTTTTCAATCCCGCGTGTCGCTTTGTGCCGCCAACTGCGCGTAGCTACCGTCAGGCCGAACACAGCCTGACAAGCCGCGGATTCCCGCAGATTCTGTTCCTGACGGCGGTGAGGCCCTTCAATTGTCGAATCGCGCGCGCTCCGGGTGCGTCGCGTCGCGTCGCGTCGCGTCGCGAACCACCTGCCACATCGGGGCTCTGACGTGCTCCAGGCGAGGTCGACGTGCCTGAGACCTCGAATTAGCGCGCATGGACGTGACTCTAAATCAACCCTGATCGCCAGCCGCCGCCGGTGGCGGTGGCGGTAGCGGCGACGACGGTGTGGCGGCGGCGGCGGCGGCGGCGGCGGCGGCGGCGGAGACTGACGGTGGAGGTGGTCACCGCGGCGGGAAACGTCTAGCAGCGATAAAATCCGATCGAATCTTCGAGGTCGGTGCGCATTCCCGTGACGTCGTCCGCGTATTTTCGCGTATTTTCGCACGTGCACAAGCGAGCGCATCTCGAATGATGAAGCGCGCGCGCGCGCGCGCGACGGCTACTGCCACTTCCCGTTCTTAGCCGTCGACGAGCCTAATTGGAGAGACGTTTGTCCGTGCCACAAGCTACAAATTAGCGCGAGAAAGATTGACGGTGGCGGTGGCGGTGGCGACGGCGACGGTGACGGCGACGGCGACGGCGTCAGGCGGCGTCGGTCGACCCCTTGTCGCGCGAGAATCGATAGTCTGCGTGAACGAAGGGCCGATAAACGCCCCGTACGTACGGCTCGTCGACATTACCACCCGCGACGTTTCGCCTTCGTCCATGTCGCACCTCCATGGATATTCTGACGCACGAGCGAGGATACGCGTTCGCCGTGGCTCGCACGCTCATGAATACTCCACGAAACGGGCGAAGCGCGCGATCGAACGAACCGGCGAATGCGCGACGGTTAGGGCTGAGAGATGGTCAGTCCGATAAATCAATGGGCGGACGAATGTTGGATGACTGTTGGCGGAGGTCGGGCGAAGAGCGATTGATCAACGGACTCAACTGGCCAGGTATAGCAGGATTCGGATCACGGGAGCAGGGCGAACGTCGACGTCGTCGGCTGAGAACACCGCGGATCATCCGCGAGCGTAACCCGCGAGCACATCCTGTGAACACTCGAGCCGAGGAGACAGGTGTCCTCCGCAGCGAGGGAAACCCTCGTGCCGACACCGACACACGCGTTTCCGCGTCGCGAGAGCACGCGACGGACGTTCGTTTGCTCGACGCGCTCGCAGGTATCTCTTCGCAAGTCCTCGCACTCGCTTCTCCGAGGATACCCACCCTCGGTCGCGCTCTCTTCATGTCTCGGAGATCTTTCGCGACATCTCGACGACACTGCTCTGGTTCTCCGCATTCTCCATGTCGTCGCTGTGACGATGTCGATGGCGCCTCGCAAAGTACACCGATCTCACGGCCGGGCTTTCGCACAATAGGCACTATGTCGTCCTGCGTGCTACGTCCTGTTCACGAGCGTGAGTCCGTTCGTCCTCGTTCTCTCTCTTTCTCCCTCTCTCTCTCTCTCTCTCTCTCTCTCTCTCTGTCTGCCTCTCTCTCTGTCTGCCTCTCTCGCTCTCTGTCTCTTTCTCTCTTTCTCTTTCTCTCTCTCTCTCTCTCTCTCTCTCTCTCTCTCTCTCTCTCTCTCTGTCTGCCTCTCTCGCTCTCTGTCTCTGTCTCTCTGTCTCTCTCTCTCTGTCTCTCTCTCTCTCTCTCTCTCTCTCTCTGTCTGTCTCTCTCTCTCTCTCTCTCTTTGTTCCCCTCTTTCTCCCTCTCTTCGGCGAAAGGTCAGGTCAGGCAGGGAACGCGCCGTGGTCGCAGAGGGCGTTTTCCCCGTCGCCGAGCTCGCGGTGGATCATCGGCGGCGGTCAAGCCTTCATCGCGGCGCCACCCGACACCAGCATAGGCGACTCATCGTCGTCGCCGGTTCGCGTCGTCTCCGTGACCGACCGACAGCGGATGACACGAGGACTCCTCTCGGGGCTCGGCTGCGGCTCGTGCGCGTACGAAACTGATCTCGAACGAAAGCGACATCTCCGACGAAGGACGGCGGAGCCGTCGGCGGAGTGGGGTGGCGTGGCGTCGCGACGGCGACGGCGTGACTCGCGAAGGGCGAGCACGCGCATCCGCTTCGAGCGGGTTTCCAAAGTGGCGCGACCAGACGGCCAGCAAGTGGCCCTCGACTTGGACCAACTTGCTGACCGAGACGATGACTCCGGATTACCCTTAGGATTATCGAACAGGTCCTGCCGGGTGTCGGTGCTCGGTGTCTACCTTGTTGTGCACACGATTTCCCCGTCAGCGTGATTACTCGCGACGACGAGGGCGAGTGAAATACCTGTCGTACGCCCACTTCCTTCGATGTAGGTCTACGTCAATTGCGTGTGAAAAGTTAAAGAGATCGGTATTATTGGATATCGCTAGAGAGAGAGAGAGAGAGAGCTATACCTGCGCGAAACTCGCCATCACCCTCCTTGTCTCCGTATCACTTATCGTTTAGCGTATCGATTTCCGTCTGAAATTAACCGTTCTTCGGGGCCGAGTCTCTCTCTCTCTCTCTCTCTCTCTCTCTCTCTCTCTCTCTCTCTCTCTCGCCAAGGCCGTTCACTCGCGATTAGAATCGCGCGATTAAAAAACATGTTCTCGGACCGTTCGATTCCGAAGTCGAAGACGAAAGCGTGCGGCCTATGCAAACATTCTTTTTTTTAGCTCGTCAGCGCTCCTGCTTCGATCCGCGAGAGCGTATCCCCTGCGAGATCGCGATTTTTCAACGCGAGACAATCAAAACCCGTGGGAGAGATCGGAATTACCCTTGTCGCACTGTGCTTTTTATTATAGCTCATGAAACACGCTCTTTATCTCTTTCCTTCACAGGCTGACCCTTTATTCTCCATCTCCGTCGCTCCCTTTTGTCCATCTCCGCTCTACAGATTTCGCCGTATAAATGTGTGTTAAAAGGAGGGTTGATCCCCTCTCTTTCTCTCTCTCTCTCTCTCTCTCTCTCTCGACGGTAAGAATCGCGCCGGGATCGATCTGCCGGGCTTTTCAATTTCTGCTAAAAACGACCGCCTATCTCGCATCGACTTACGAGCATGCTGATCATTTCTCATCCCCCCTTACAATCTGTCTGATAATGGCAGAAGGCATTTGACATATCGAGTCTCTTCACTCGTCCCCTCAAATTTCTCGTCACTCGTCGTTCTCTCTCGGTAACATCACACGGAACACGTTCATCCCGTTACATTTGTTGCTCGTAAATAATACAGACGAAATGTGTGCGCGCATGCGGCAAGTAATCGATATATATATCCCACTTACGAATATCACATTACCTTTTAAAGCCTCGAGTTACAACTATGTCAAAGATATCCGAGCGAGCGATTGCTACGACACGATAATCACACGTATGCATAACTCCTCTCTCGGGAAGGGAGCACGCGGCCAGAAATGTTTGTTCACAAACCGTGTCGCATATTTTAAATACGCCACGACGAGAATTAGTGGTTTTGCGACGGATGTCGCACCGAATCGAAAAACCCAAAAGCGAAGGATGAGGAGGAGGAGGAGGAGGAGGAGGAGGAAACCGATCATTATCTCCTCCATCCTGCCCGCAAAAGCTGCAGTCTGCCGAGATTTCCAGCCGAAGCATCCTTACGTTCTTTGCATCTCCTCTGATCTTCGCGCAACTTCGCCGAATCGGAATCGCCGTACGTAGCGACGGACAGACAGATGGGCGAAATGAAATTAGACAGACGGCAGGTTAGAGCCGGCCGAAGATTAGCATAGTCGCGAGTGGGAATCGGGGATACAGGCGAGCTCGAAGGAAAGCGCCAGAGCGAAACGGTGCAAGTTGCTGGCGAAGGTGCGTATGAGCCGAGGGGTGGTGTCGCGTTTACGCGTCTCACGAGTGGGCTCGCAGGGTATGTCCCGAGGCCCTCGCTTCTCAGCGGGGGAGGGGGGGGGAGGGGGTCGTCGCTACCCTCGCCGCGCGAATTTCTCCACCGGTCGATGGCTTACGCTTGCGCCCTGCTGCCACTCGAGCAGCGGCACCAGCAGCGGTAGCAGCAGCAGCAGCAGCAGCTTTCAACTCCCCACAGCTGTGCGCCAAATTTACAGCCACGGGAACGGCCTCGACGCTCGGCCATTAGACGCTCAGCTTCACGCTGAGGAGGTATTACCGTTCGATAACCCCGCGCGCGATAATACCAATCATCGGCGAGACTATCGCGAGACGGTTATCCCCACCGACTTGACTTGATCTCTTTGTTGAACTCGATGTTGGAGAGCGCAAACTTAGCCTTCTCCGCTCTCCCGTCCGGGTCGAAGAGGCCAAATTAGTCGCTCGATGAATAAGTCAGACGGGACAGATAGCGCGCGGCTGATTTATGGATGAGCGATTATCGAAGATAATCGATCGCCGCCGAGATACTGTCCTCCTCCGTGGCTTTCGAATCTTGACAGCAAGCCGATAATATCAATCATTTTTTTTTTGTATTTCAAGAATATATTCAAGTGTATATAGACTTTTTTCTTCTTTCCGGCAAAGGCGGAGAGCCTCTTCCCCATTATGTTCGAAGAGATGGGATTCAAAGGTACGATAAATTTTATTACCGACACGTCGATCCCGGGAATTTTGTTACACAATATTACTTAGCTCGGTCGAGTACATCGACTTGGAAGCCAGACTCGTTAGAAATCGACGGTCTTCGCAGTCGATGTCGATGTGATGCCGATGCGACGACGGTCTCGGTCGTCTCGGTCGAGTGACAGGTAGAATTCTCCTTCTCTGTTTCGGCAGTTTGCTGCGCGCCTGAAAAAGTTTGCGCGCGATTAATCCTCTCGTGTCGTCACATCGGAGGTAACTGTGTGTGTGTGTGTGTGTGTAACTTTTGTCGAAAGTTACTTCCATCGATTAAACGACGATGTAATTGTAATTGGAAAGATATAGGTTAGGTTAGGATGCGGAGGGAATTAGTAGACGCGCGCGCGCGCGCGCGCACCTGCGTGTGCGAGTAGAACATGGAGAAGTTGCTGACAATGACCGGGACCGGAAGAGCGATAGTAAGGACACCGGCAAGAGCGCACAGTCCGCCGATGAACATGCCTGGAAAAGTTTTCGGTGTCATATCGCCGTAGCCCACAGTGGTCATCGTGACCAAGGCCCACCAGAGGCCTCGCGGTATGCTGTCAAAATCGTTGTCAGGATTCTCCTGGAAGGTGTCCGTTGCGCGTTACTCGAGCTTCTGCTCGGTGCGAGCTTCAGCGGCGAGAAGCCAAGCCCAGATTAGAACACCGAAGGATGAACCTCGAAAAAATGAGATCGCGCGCAGAATCGAATTTCTTGGTCGATTTATCTTGTTTTGACATTTATCTCCTCCCGCGGCGCGCGTTCCGCGTAACTTTCCTTGTAATTGTAATGAGACAAGAACTTACTTGTTCACCGCCGCGAAACCGTAACCGCGTATCGTAACAGCGTCCTTAAAATATTTACTTGCGCTGTGTAAGTCTCCGCTCGCGAAGCTGAAAGAAAGGCGATGTACCTGCAGACGCTCTGCATAAAATATGAGGCTGGCGAAGAGCACGATCCCCAGCACGAGGAAGAAGACCAACAAGGCCAGCTCTCTCGCGGACGCCTTGAACGTGTGAATGAGGATTCTAAGTCCGGGTGAGTGCCTCGTCAGTTTGAATAACCGTAGAACGCGCGCTATCGATAGGAGGTCCAGATAGAGGCTCGGCTCCGCCGAGAATTCCGTGTAGAAGCTCATCGTCGCCACGAGATCGATCACGTTCACCGGCGACATGGCGAAACGCTTCAGGCTAGGGCTGACCTGCAAGTACGTAATTTCACGATCATCCACAGCGCGCTAAATCAGGCTAACTCTTCAGCATATCGTCACAAGTTCAGCAGTGTAACTGCAAGTCGGAAATACCGAGCGTTGCGTTTACGTGTCGAGACGTGCGTAAACGAACGACGTTGCAAGGTACGCAACGGTGCAAGGTGTTCGTTTTGGATAATAATTTTCGCGTTGATCGTCTCGATCGGCGGATGAGACTCTTGATGAGACGCTTGACACGTCCGCTCGACCAGAGTCGCCGGACTCTGTCCATCCAAGCAAGTGGCTTTGTATTTTTTTTCTTTTTTTCTTTTTTTACGCAATTATGCAAAAAACACTCAGTTTGATGACGTGAACGCGGAAGAAGAGATGCGTGGCGACACTGGTGGCGAACGTGTTGAAACGTGTTCGACGAAGAAAGCGACAGTCACACGAGAGATCATACGAGACAGCGGAGCACAATCTCCACGGTGAACCAAGCGTTGCAGGCGTGCTCCAAGTAGAAGAACGCTCGATGAGGATCGGAATCGTTCGAGCGGTCCTCCTTCGAATCCCCCGGCGACGACTCCGCCGGCGCGTAACTCTTCACGCAGAAGCAGAGAACCGACAAGCAGGTGAAGAGCACCGACACGCAAGCTATGCTCTTGGCCGTCAATGATGCGTATGGCTCGTCGAAGAGGATCCAGACGCGAGATCGTAACCTTTGCCATCTCGTCAAGGTGCCGTTGTGGTACTCCTCTTCGAAGCCGAACGCCCGCGCGATTTCCGCGTCGCTCAGCTTCTCGCCCTCAACGCCCTCGAGCTTATCGAGAATTGCCAAGGTGGCTTGCGTGTCTCGGTGAACGCTGTAGGTGCTCCAACAGCACGGCTCTACCTGCGGTAGAAGTCAACTTAATCGAGGAGCTATTAAAGAACTTCATGGGCGATACGATCGACCTGTGCACCGATGAATTATGTCGAGTCGTTTCCACGTAGAGCGCGGATCGTTGAGGAGGGAGAGATAAAAGGAAATGGAAATGATCGGAGCGAGCGAGACCGCACCGAGTAGGTGAACGAAGAGAAGCAACGGTAAGGAAAGAGCACGAGCGAATGCGCGGCGTCGAGCCGACTGTACCAACCTGATTCGAGTCCAATCCCCAAAACTCCAGTTCCTGCTCGAAGAGCGGACCGCACACGTCCGCGGGATAGTGCAGCTTCCCGGTGCGATAATAATTGAGCACCTGCGCGAATACGCCCGGATGCCTGTCGTAGAAGTATTCGTTCAAAATCGGGTCGTAGTTCACCAAGGCTTCCGTTAACCGCGACAACCTCGTCGCCGGGATTTTCCTCAGGGTCGCCTTGTACGTCTCGTGTCGAACACCACCGACGTTTAGCGTCACCCGATCGTTCCACTTGTCGTCTCGGCATTTTTTCATCTCGCGCAATGTCTGCGCAAAATCTGCGGAAAACAGGACCTCTCCCGTTACGAGAGGAACTCCCGCCGAGCGGGAGTCTTCAGACAGCGGTCGAACGTAGCGTATTCGGCATCGATAAATTAACGGTAAGCGTCACGTCGTAGATAAAATGCAACCGTGCATCCGTCAATTTGATTACTCGTTGGGAAAATGTTTGCGTGTACCCGCGCGCAGATTTACGGAGATTTACGGAAATGAGGACGCGGTAACACCGCGAGCGAGAAAATTCCACGCGGTTACACGCTCAGCATCAGCGGAGCATCGCTCGGTGACTATTCGACGGTGGGCGCAACCATCAGGTTCGGTAAAAAAGGAGTGACCCACGCCACGTACGTGCTCTTTCCCGGTTCTATAAATTCGCGCGTGTTTATTTGCGTGGTCTGCAGCGCACACATTCGGAGTCCCGTTCAGTTTGGTAGGGTGTAAAGTCACGCGTACGACTCATAGCTTCATCGACATTCCGTGAAAACGTGACGGAAGAAGAGAGTGGAGTGGTTTTATTTTGGACCCGTTCGCGGGCCTCAATCGCGACGGAGACAGTGTCGTCTACAATAATTACTGCGATAGTACAGATCTGTCGTAGAAGTTAATCATGCGCATGCATTAATTTTTAAAGGACATAATATATTGTAAACAAAACTTTTTACATCAAGAGGATATTATGTGTGCGTTGATTCTCTCTTATGAAATATATTGATTGCCCATTCTTACAAAATATCTTACCCTCACCAACGAAAAATAAAAACTCGTGTTGCCAAATTGTCAGTACCGCAGTCACGTGTGAAGTAAATAATAATTTTGATCACATGATTAGACTCTTGAAGTAAAATCATTTGTAACACTGGGGACTGTCGGTACTTATGAAATCTGTTTTGATCTGTTCCAGATGTGCAGTTATCATCATACACGCGACCTCTCTGCAACTGTTGAAGAACTACGGTCATACATTGCACGCTGCTTTACTGAAGTATCGTTGGTTAATTTTTGCCAAGTTTTCAGCACAATATTGTTACAGCGTCGAAAAATCGCATGACACTTGTGCGTCAAACATTTTCGCTTCACAAATTACATAACATTGTGATATTTTTGTACATAGCTATTGTAGTGAAACACATACACACATGTACTTTTAAACTGGAAAATAAACATCTTTTTATTATTCACCGACCTTTTATTATTCCTTTCCAATTTATGTCCTTGATGAAACATACAATTCATCAAACATACAACATACTTGATATTAAAAAGTAAATAATTTTGTGCCACTTTCTCGTTTATTATATTCTCCTAATACAAATCCTCAAAATTGGAGAATTTTTCTATTTCGTAAATCACCAATTTTCACGTTTTGATATCAGGAGATAATGATCAAAGAGATAACTCGACTTTCTGGCGGGAAATTTAAAAATTTGCAGTTTCTCGATTTTGGCATTTTCGTATCAGGAGAACACAATGATCAAAGAGGGGTAACTCGACTTTCTGGCGAGAAATTTAAAAAGTTGCAATTTCTCGATTTTGGCATTTTCGTATCAGAAGAATTCATAGTGATCAAAGAGGTAACTCGGATTTCTGGCGGGAAATTTAAAAATCTGCAATTTCTCGGTTTTCACGTTTTGGTATCGGGAGAACATAATCAGCCAAGAGGTAACTCGAATTTCTGGCGGGAAATTAAAAAATTCGCAAATTTCGCTCAGTTTCCCAATTTTCACATTTTCGTATCGGGAGAATATAATCCGCAAAGAGGATTCACATGGAATATTTTGGATTCTTTGACGTTGTACTGTTAGGAACACATAATAAGGGGAATGGTAGTATAAATAAAAAGCTTGAATCAAGTTAAAAATCTTGTACTTTTGCTTATATTTTTATACAATAATATGATATAATGTAATCTAATGTAATATAATATAATATAATATAATATAATATAATAATATAATATAAATGTAATGTATGATGCGTTACTCTCCTATAATATATTCACAGTTGCAAGTTATTCACATCCATTTTTGAATACAACTGATTATAAATTTATATTAATGAACTGCTTGTTATTCCATTGTTCGAATGGAATAACATTCGTTATTTTCTATTATTCTATGACTATTTGTGAAATAATGGCGCATTAAAAGTAACGATCTAATGCAACCTGACTTGATTTAACCTAACGCCCTTTTTCAATAAAATTTAATACATTTCAATGCAAAGTAGTGCATCAGAATGTAATGCAACGAGAGAGACAACGTTACACAATCTATATACCTATTCTCTTTTGTAGTCGAGATAATGATCCTTAGTCTATCATTAAACTGCCGCTGGGCGTAAGTGCGCTTCTTGCTGGGGTAGCTGAGTTCCACCTTCTGCTGAATGCAGGGGTTACTCAGCTCGTGGGCGCAGTTATGAAGAAAGAGACCAAGACAGAGGACAAACTCAAGAGGAGGAAACGTCGATTGTCTGAAGACCGCGTCGACGAAAATATGCGGGATGTGTGTCCCTTGAACTTTAACAAGGTACAGCCAGCTCCACGACAAAGAGGCTGGATGGCTGGAAGGGCGCGCAGGAGCTCCATCTGGTCTTGACGTGACCGGTCACTCGTGTAGGCTCTCTCCTCACGTCGTGCTCGTAGGCGTCGGTACTTCCGCGCGCATGTACGCCGTGAAACGTGGGCGTCGCGGCTTTAAGGACAGCGTCCGTCAGTGACGTCATATTTGTTTCATTCCGCCGTGCCAGCACACGTCCGGCTTGTCTTTTCAGTATTGCAACTGTGTCATCTCGTTTATCTAGCTCCCTTCTCTCTACCCTTAGCGCGCCGCCGCCGCCGCTGCCGCCACCGCCGCCGCCGCCGCCGCCGCCGCCGCCGCCGCCGCCGCCGCCCTCATTCACCGTTCTCTCCGACACGCCAGTTGTACGAGCGTGTTTAACGCGTCGCCTTTTTATCATACCTCTTTAGCTAATGCTATTGTCCGTGTGTATACACACGTGCTCATGGCGGAACTGTTACTACCTTCATTTCCTGACTTACCTTTGATTCCGCGACGTTGTCATTACAGCCTGATTATCGTTCGGCTAATTGTTTTATCACCGAGAATGTCTCGTTGTCCGACTAGCTCTTCAGCAACGAGCTTGCCACGCGGCAATGGAACTTTGGTCGCGACTACTGTGGATTAACAAATAGCAAGAAACATATATGTACACACACAGCGAAATACAGAGAGGGGGAGAGAGAGAGAGGGGGGGAAGTGAGGGTAAAAGGAGAGAAACGCACAGTTGTGGATGCATCGCTACACAAACGGCATCAATTAATTAGGTCACAATTCCCCGCCAAGTAGGTCGCCTTCAACTGTCTTTGTCGAGACACGAAGAGCGGCAATCTCCACCCTGTACAATGATCCACCGGCTGCACGGGGCGAATTAGAGACTCGGCGCAGCCTTACCTTACCTGAAGATTTTACGATAGAACAAGCGCCAATGCTCCGAGCTACGACACCAGCCAAGACAACCCGGCCGGGACAATCGCGAGGGACTATAATCGGGAAAAGGACTATTTGCGAAGCACGTCGTGACCGCAGCGCGGGTGATTAAACGGTGATCCGGTTAAATATCAAGATATTAATACGCCCGATAACAAGCGTGCCGCGCGCGCTTTACAAAGCGAGTACACGCGTGTTGCGAATGTTACAAATACCCCCACCTCGGCCAGCGCGCCACTCGTCATCATCATCCCTCTTTTCCTCCCAACATTCACCGTCTCGATCGCACCCACGCTCTCTCACACACTCCCTCCATTCATCCCCCTCTATCCACATCCCGCCGGCGTTTCCTCCACCCGATTCTCTCGTTTCTCCCTGCTTCGCCACCCTCCCTATCGCGCGTCTCCCTTGCACCGGTTCGCGCAAGCCCCGGTCGCCTCTCACCGACTCACATGGACTCGTCATCCCTAGCGTCTCTCGCGAGGATCACCGAGACGCGTCGCCTCGATCGTATCCGCGTTTGCCAACGTTGTCGCGCGGTGGTGGTGGCGATTGTGATGGTGGTGGAGATGGTGGTGGTGGTGGTGGTGGTGGTGGTGGTGGTGGCAGTGGTGGTGGTGGTGATGGTGGTGGTGGTCGTTGTCGTCGTCGTCGTCGTCGTCATCGCCAGCGTCGTGCTCGCCGTTGTCGAGTGCTCTGGCGTTCCACGTTAGCAATCGCTGCCAGGAGTCTACCGACGACTGATTACCGCGAATCAAGGCGCGAGTGTCGTCGCGGACGGAGAGACACGTAGTCGGGCATCCTGCTGCGGCCCGGACTCTGCGTCGTGCCGCGCGCGCGGGAATGCGACCATGAAGGTACCGCGGGCGCGAGACGCGCCGACGAGGTAGCTCCGCAAGAACTACCGCCGCTGGCTGTCTCTCGCGGGATCCTCTCGGTTTACCCCCCGGGACGCCGAGAGAGTAGGATCACATTCCTCTCTCTCTCTCTCTCTTTCTCTCTCTCTCTCTCTCTCTCTCTCTCTCTCTCTCTCTCTCTCTCTCTCTCTCTCTCTCACACTCTCTGCCTCTCTCTCTCTCTCTCTCTCTCTCACTCTCTGCCTCTCTCTCTCACTCTCTGCCTCTCTCTCTCTCTCTCTCTCTCTCTCTCTCTCTCTCTCTCTCTCTCTCTCTCTCTCTCTCTCTTCCTTGTTCGAGAGGGAAAAAGCGGCTAGATCGATAGGCCAGCTGGTGTGCGTGGCCAGCGTTTTCGCCAACGAGTACGGTGTCGCTGCGCGGGGTGCGGTCCAGGATGGTGAAGGCACCGAGCGTAGGACCCGCCGGTGGCCCGGCGGGCATCAGGAGGATCCACCCGGGCCCTGAGATCGCCATAAACCCGCGGAACCTACCCACCGTCTCCGCGAACATGACGCCCATGCGGGGTGATGCCAATGCGATCGGCAGAACGACACCAGTCTATCATCCTCAGGTAGGTACGCGAATGTCAGGTGGGTATCAGGAGAGCTGGCACGACGTGTTTATGTCGCGACATCGCGTACGACATCGGACCGCTGAAGACCGTCCGTTCTACTACCGCGAGAGCTAGTACGCGCGCGGACTGTCGCGTTTCCGTCGCGGCGTTTCTTCGTTTTTCCTCCGCGTCGCGAGAGTGAAACGTATTCGTTGGAAAATCGCAGATGGATTGATACAGCACGGAGATGAAGTGAAGGCAGGCGTGAGATTCGCCGGGAGCGCACGTTCTCGCGGCTTCTCGCGTTTCGCGTTTCGTGCTCAGCGTGTTGCTCGAAATTAGCGAGTTCCCCTTATTAGCGGGGAAGTGAGTTGATTAAAATTCCGTCTCATCGAGACACGCGTGGACCGGCACGAAAGTAGAGGGCTGTCGCGCGATGTGACGTTTGTCCGCGTCGCAAATGTATTAACGTAATTAATTTATAAACGCGATAGCGCGCCGCGGTGAGAACGTGTCTGGTATATATAGCGCGCGTTGCGCTGTGTCACGTTGCGTGAAAAAAAAAATGGGAAGGAGGAGAAAGAGAGAGAGAGAGAGAGAGAGAGAGAGAGAGAGAGAGAGAGAATTATTTTTCGCAAACTGTGTTTTACGCGCATATTTTTCACATCACGGCCAAAGTTGTAGCTTCAAAAAGTTGCAGCTTTGTGCGGTGACGGTAAAGTTCATTAACCACGTTCGTACCTGCAACTACATTATATGAATTGTCGGGGGTTCAACTCTCGCGAGCCGGCCTCTCCGACGAATACGCGAATTTACTCGCGCGGTATACGGTGGAAGATACCTCTTACTTCCTCGCTCATTCCAGCAATCTAATTAATTATCATCTTTCGGAGATGGTTCTGTCCCCCTCTCACTCTCTCTCTCTCTCTCTCTCTCTCTCTCTCTCTCTCTCTCTCTCTCTCTCTCTCTCTCTCTCTCTTTCTCTCACGTGTACTCCATTTCACTCGCCATTCGTTATTTATCCTCATCGTTTGCACGACGTTTACGGTCGCGCGTGTAGGCGGCACGGGAGTGGACAATCGCCCACGGTTTTATTTGCGAACGTTCCGGCTGGAAGACAGCGTTAACATTTCGAGGATCAACGAGGACTGCTCTTTCCGGCGATACGGAGGGCGATAATATCCCAATCATCCCCATCCCCCCGGAGAATCGAGGACATTGCTCGCGCTCCGAAATACGTTTCCTGACGATCGAATGTAGGTCAGTCTTCCGAAGAGAGAGAGAGAGAGAGAGAGAGAGAGAGAGAGAGAGAGAGAGAGAGAGAGAGAGAGAGAGAGGGAGACGCGCACCTCTCGCTCTCGGAGAAAACTGAAATGTTTTCCCCGTCCATGGATCTCGCCCGCGCGCTCAACAAGGGTAGCTCCCTGACGAATCTCATTACCGGACACTAATATAATGCGATAATCATTGGGGCGGTTATAATGGCAACGGCACGCGGCGCGAGCACGGTCGGCGGGCGCAAGATATCGGAACTCCATGTTTAGCATGGAATAATGCAAGAACGGTAATGAAGTCCGGGAAATTACAGAAGTTTAACGCAGCGACTATTACGATTTCCGATAACGCGACCCGGCACAATGAGTCGCGTATAGCTATGGAACTCGGATGAATGAAGCAGTTTACCGCACTCGATCGTAGGACGATACAGTTTTTAAACGACCCGCGGAAGACAATACTCTCCCGCAGCCTTGCTCGTTTTGTTCGCTCGTTTCCTACCCGGCCAAGTTGCGTGTTTCATTGCTGTCGCGTCAAGAGTCGCGTATCTCTCTCTCCCTCTCTCTCTCTCTCTCTCTCTCTCTCTCTCTCTCTCTCTCTCTCTCTCTCTCTCAATCGGTACTATTATTTCGAGCACCACGGCGAGTGTTGCATCGCGACTAAACATTCCTGTCTTTCGACTGTTGGATCGCGCGGGGGGGGGGGAGATGTAACTTTTTCTCAACGGCACTGCCGTTTTCAACGACGCCCGCCGACGCCGCCGCTGCCACTTGAATCGCCTTGTCCTCCAACTGTGAATCCCATTTCGACAGAGCGATGCGCCGACCTCGATCTCCAGCGCGGCGGGATTGTTCAGCCACCACCGCGAGGCAATTGTCGCGAAACGCGTCATTGGCGCGTCTGTGAGATACAAATAAGCGCGATCTCGCCGATCATCACCGGCGAATCACTCCGTAGTTGCCGGTCCCTCCTATTCGCGTCTCACGCAGATTACACCGCGTGTCGATCAACTACAGTCTACCGACTTACTCCCCGTGAGTGATACCGTAACCCCGGCTGTTTGCGACAGGTGGACGTCTCCACGCAGGTAGACCTCCACGGCGGTTTCGTCGGCCCCATAAACGTCGTCGACTGGGACCGTCGCGCGACTCCCTTGTACTCGCGCGAGGACATTAAGGAGCAGTATTGCATCACCAGCCGGCAGCTGGACGCCGTGGAGAAGTCCGGCGGCGGCTTCTTCGGCTGCCTGTCGACGAGGGGCCCGTCGCCGTGCAGCTCCACCAGAAACTCCATCCTGTCGGCGTGCGTGCGTAGCGTGCCCAGCGACGAGAACCTGTGCGACGCGCCTTATCCACGAAGACCCCTTCAGATCATGTATCGCCAACCGCGTGGCTACGTCTTCGAGGATGAAGCGGACTGGATCGACAGTTCCTACTTTAGGCCGCGCCCCAAGTTTTGCACCGTGCCCGATCCGAAGAGGTGAGTGAGGCGACGGATCTCTCTCTCTCTCTCTCTCTCTCTCTCTCTCTCTCTCTCTATCTCTCTCTCTCTCTCTCTCTCGCTCTCTCGCTCTCGGCACGCTCCTTCGACGGATCCTGCTCCGGGAATCCAAAGTCGCGAGCCTCGGGCTCATTGACGATTCCAGCAATTCCGAAGTTTACGCTGATACGTCGCCGGTTGCAAATATCTGAGAGAGAATTTCGTCAGCTGCAGCTGATTCAACCCGCGGCGATGTACATACGAGAGAGCACTCTCGCCGCGCTCGAATCTACGATAATATCACGCGAAGTATACATCGCGCGCACATGTGAACCCGTCATTTCTCCCATTCTCTCTTCCTCTCTTTGGTAAAATGTCGCTCGTCGAATTGTCAAGAACGGTGGGCGATCGCCCAGGCGCGCACACGCGGCGCCGACACCTGCGGAGGACGATATCACCTCCTCCTCCTCCGCCGCCACCGCCGCCACCTCCCGCCGGCTATTTGGTAGAAGCCGAACGCTTCGGATATTTGAGGGCAAATTACTCCGAAGGGACGCGTTGCGAATGTATCCACTGATCGATTTATCGGCGAGGATTCGGCCGACGTAACTGATCGAGGGAGGCGTGTCTCGGCCAGTAACGACGAGTTATGCAAACGTAAGAACGGCGGCTCCAAATGCGTTCTTTCAGCTGAAATATTCACGAGCATTTCTCGCCTTTGGATTCTCCCCCGGCCGAGTCTCCGTGACGCCACGAGCGGATGCGAGCGCACCCGACTTTTGATGCACACGGAAAGGAAAGTTGCAGTTCACGGTCGCCTGCGAGCGGCCGACCGTTGCTGTGCTTTTAGATAGACCTTATAAAAACGATATTTATACGGCGCACGTTGTTCCATCGGCTGTTACGTGCAAAACCTGCCGCGGTCTCTGTCTCTCTCTTTCTCTCTCTCTCTCTCTCTCTCTCTCTCTCTCTCTCTCTCTCTCTCTCTCTCTCTGTCTCTCGGTCTCTCTCTGTCTCTCTCGGTCTCTCTCGGTCTCTCTCTCTCTCTCTCTCTCTCTCTCTTTCTCCTCTGAGGATAGCGTGCGCGCCTCACTCTCCGGGGTTGGGTTTATTTCTGATTAGCACGAGTGCCGCGCCGACCCTTTTATCAGCTTTTTAAGGTCAACGGAAAGCGATCGATTAAAAAATTATGTTTGTGCGGAAAATCGCTGGGCGAGGGTGCAGAAGAGAGTTACACAGGACGTACGCGTAACGTACCGCGATGGATCTCGGCGTGCAAATACCGCGGTCGCGCTCTTCAAATCCGCACGTTTCCTTTTTTTATACTCTCGACAGTCGACAGGTGGTAAATACTCGCCGCGATCGATCTTGCGGAACGCTACGAGCACGGCTCGCGCGAAAAATTGACGTTTAATATATGCGATCGCTAATAAGGTCATCTGCACGTCGATGGAACGACGCGCTGTCATCCCGCTTCCTGCGATAATAGCGGTAACACGCGTAATCGGGCTGTATTTAGTACAATGGCTGTGGACATGACAATCTCCCCGACGACGCGCCTCCCGTTTAATTCGCCTCATTTTCATTACGAGAGAGAGAGAGAGAGAGAGAGAGAGAGAGAGAGAGAGAGCGGAGGAGAAAAGAAGCGGCATGTGACGCGCCCCTGTTATTCTCTGCGGCAAACTCGAGGTGTGTATTTTTGCATCGGGAATGAGGGGAATCTGTATATTTATAGAAGCGCGTCTCTCCGCGCGCGCCATTTTTTCTAATATTAACGATCGCGCGACACATGTCGTCGATCGACACGACGAGCGCAAACGAAACTCGTCGCGATGCGAAAAACGCACGAACGCGCATCTCCGGCATTTCACACAGCCTGATCACTCTTTGATCTCAAAGATACACCTGGCTGCCGGAAGACGAGGAGTCCATGAGGCTGGAAGGACCGCGGCCGGTGCTGCCGGCCGTGCCTCCTCCTCCTCCTCCCAGTGCGATGACCACGACGACGCAGGGGTCGCAGCAGCAGGCTCCGAAGACGAAGCACGTGAGCTTCGCGAGGTCGCACACACTCACGTCGTTCGAAGTACCGAGAAGCAGAAGTCCTCCGGAACGTCTCATAGACTCGCAGCCGACAATGCAGAACACTATACTGCCTTCGTCCTTGCCCTTGGTGCATCCTTACCCTGGCGTCGAGCCACGTGTTCTTGTGCTCGGTGAGTGCGTGTGTGTGTGTGTGTGTGTGTGTGTGTGTGCGAGTCTTATGTTTCGACGGCGACGTCGAAAGTTTTACACATTACAAGTACACACACACACACACACACACACACACACTCTATAAATACACCTCTCTTTAAAGACGTACGCGATCTATAAATACTCTTTACTCGCCACCGCGCGCGATGCTATAACGTTTCGTAATTCTCGATCTTTCTCTCCCTTTCCCCGAAAGGATATCATCCTTCATTTATGAACGCGCTCGGTTTGCGATAGACGGTAAATTATTAATTTCGTTAATTTCGCACTGTGCGTGACCCATGGGACTGCATATGTGAGTGATCAAACTCGCGTCTGGCAGTTTTGATCCCGAGCCAAGTATCACATATTAAGTGGCGAAAGTAGTCGGAGCTATTTACTCACGACCGGCTCTCACCTCTTGATCGAACTATTAGGTCGATGGGGAAAGTTCCGTTCGTTTTTTCGCAAAACGTATGGCTTTACTTAAGAAACAAATTAAAAAAGTCAATCAAAATATTGTCCATCGTTAGCGATGACTTTTTACCATCGGCTTCCGGTCAGCGAGCGAATTCCGCGGCGAAAGAATGACTCGTCTCTGGAGGCTATCCAGTCAGAGACCTATTTTTCGACGTCTTCGTAAGAATTGAAGCAAGCATTCGTCAGCAAGTGCGTGTGCCATCGACCGAAACAAGTGGCGGTCGGAAGGGGCACAGTCTGGTGAATAAGCCGCATGGGGTAACACTTCCCTGCGAAGTGCTTCTAACGTTTCCTTGACTGGGATTTTGTGACGTGAGGCCGAGCGTTGTCACGAAGCAAAATCACTTTATGCTGTCTCGTGTTTCATATTCTGGTCGTTTTTCGTGCAATGCTCGGCTCGAACGGATCATTTGTTCTCTCCGTAGAGATCCCCTGTGACTGTTTGACCACTTTTCAACAGCTCATGGTACAGCACACCCTTCTGATCCCACCAAATATCCACCAAAGAGCATTGCCTTCTTTCCGCTTTCCGATATTCCGCTTTCCGCGTCGATGTTGAGGGTTGGGGCCGGGATCGCAAATAATTTCTCGACGTTTGGGATTGTCAAAATAAATCCATTTCTCATCCCCAGTGATGATACGATGTAAAAAACCCCTTTCTTTGTTGCCCAGCAAGCAGGCATTTCGCAGGCATGGTATTTCGCCTTTCAATGTCTCTTGGCATCCGGTTCACGCGGGACCCATTTCCCCTCCTTGTAAACCTTCCCTAAGGCTTTCAAACGATCGGAAATGACCTGATTGAGCGCAATTTAATGCTTCTGCAAGTTGCTTTTGCGCTTGACATGGGTCTTCGTCCACCGATATACCTGCAATTCTTCGTCTTCGAATACTCTTGGCCGTCCAGAACGCTCTTTGCCCTCTACATCAAAATCACCACTCTTTTAAACCATTCTCTGCATGTTTTATCGGAAGGAGCATTATATACCATAAACTTGTACAAACATTCGATGAGCTTCAGCTGCAGTTTTCTTCCAATTCCGAAGCAAAAGATTTGGCCAAATGACTCTTGGCGCAAATGACTCTTATTTCGATATTTTCGATGCGGTAAAAAACAATGTTATTGGTGCAAACGTATATACTGAATCTATGTACCGAGTGTTATTGACGGATGTCAAAGCAACCATTAAGCTTTGTTTAGACACTAGAGGTTAACGACAGTTCTATTGCTGTTGCTACTCGCCGCTAGATGGCCGGAACTTTCCGATTTACCTAATATAACGCTCGCGAATGATCGAGAACCGCCATCCGGCCGGTGCAACGATGCGAGATGCACATCTCCTTTGGCGAGGTCTGTTGAATGTCGACGCTGGATGAAAAAAATACGCCGGTCGATCTTTCTGCCCCCCCCCCCATCTTTGGAAGCAGGCTAAGCCGCGGAGAGACATCCGCGGATGTCAAACGGCGCGACGTTTCGTGCGCGACTTTGAGCGATTTCGATTCGTTCCAGAGAAACCACCTAAGCGCGGCGCGATGAAGACGCAGGCGACGCAGACGGAGATCCCGGCGATGTTTCGCGGCCGCGTGCTTCCGGTGACACTCAGCCCGAGGACCATTCATCGTGTCAAGATGGTCTCGCAGGGCGCGCAGACGAACGGCATGTTCAACGGCAGAAAATTGACCAAAAGTTACTCGGAAGCCGGACAATTAGGAACGCCGCTCGGCGGCGGCCAAGTTGGCGCGCCGACCAAAGAGGAAGTCGAGCACGAGCCGCTCCATAGAACCCAAAGCGAGGAGCCACCGAGGTCGCCTTTCCTCGTTTCGACGACACCACCTCCGCTGCTGCTTCCTTCCACCGCCGTCACCGCCGCCACCACTGTCACCACCACGGTCGTCGTTGAAGCCTTACCGAATGGGGATATCGTGATTCCTTCCTGCGTTATCGTGAGTACGCCGCCCCCCTGCTCGATCGAGCGTATCTTTCGATCCCTCTTCAGGGACTGAGGTTTCGAGAGACGAGTCCGCCCGGAGTGAGTCGCTCTCTTGCGCGTTTTTCTAGCGCGCTCGCGAATCGACGCGCTCTCGAGAGCGCGATTGATTCCGCGCCGGAGAGAGCGTGAAAAATACGAGCAACTGCTCGGGCGAACTTTGCGTTTTCAACGCGCGATAGATAATAGACGAATCTCTTGCCCCCCCCTCCCTCTTAACACAGATGGATATAAACGGCACAGGATACAGCGTCTCGTATATTCGCTTCTCGTTTCAGCCTCTGGGGCATCGTAAATCTCTTGATTTAGACGACCAGGAGATCTTCATAAATTTCAAGCCGGCTCCAGTGTCGCCGGATGCTCGGGCGCTCCTCAGCCGGATTTCCGAGCCCACCCGTAGGCTTCTTCCTCTGCAGAAGACATTCTCCGACGGCGAGATCCGCGTAGAGAGACGCGAGCTCATCGGGGAGACCGGTGAGCCGAGTTACCCGCACACCTGCAGAAGGAATCATCAGGATCCTTGGGGCAGGACTGTCAGAGCACCCGTCCAATTTTCCTCGACACCCGAGGATCTGTCCTTGCTACGAATCGCCTCGCCCCATGAGGATCATCACGAGGAGGTGAAGAGCCCGCGCGCGGCGCGTCTGTTTAACGTGTCTCTTTGGCGGCGTGTGTGTACACACACGCGCGAATAAAAGCAACAGAGAGATTGTCGCGAGCGCGACGGACGGATCGGAAGCGCGAGGTTCGACGAGGTGTTTCTTGTTTTTTTCTCAGGAGTTCCACGAAAATCTCATACGTCGCGGTCTCTTCCGGAAGAGAAGCGTGTCTCTCGAGGACGGCGTGCAGGGTCTGTCGTCGGACGACTTTATGCTCCCCAGGTCGCTACCAACTTCGCCCACGTCGCCGACCGCAGCGGCGGGTATGTGTCGGTTGGGTGTGACGCTCTCTCATTAAGCTCGCCAATTGCTAATCTAAACGGGTACCTACGACACGTTGTTGCAGCACCACGCAGGATCTCGCAGAGCCCGAAGGACGACTCGTTGCCGAGCGGCGCGTTGCTGCACACCACGTTCTGTCCGCCCGGGTTCAGCGCAGTCATCGGCGGCACCAGCATCATCGGCCAGGTGACTTCTCCGTTCGCATCGAGCGACTCCCTGACGAACGACGTGACGAGGGACCACAGCGACGGGATCTGGAACGAGTCGCAGGCGACGGTGCTCCAAGCCGACTCCTTGGCTCTGCTAACGCCGTCCTCGAGGAGGAGACATCTGCTGCTGCTGCAGCATCAGCAACGCTCGTCGATGGATACCGAGGCGTTGGACGTGGAGGACGAGGTGGAGCCTTGCCCGCCGAGCCCGAGGATACGCTTGGAGCCTGCCACTCCGGTGCAGCCCCTCACACCGAGGTAACGCAAAACGAAACGCACAATTCCGCGAAATGTTTGGAAGAGAGGGAGAGAGAGAGAGAGAGATACGATCGCTCTGATGCGAAGTCGTCGTGAAATTGAAGATGGATTGTTGGAGTCTGCGATTTCAATGATCGTGGTGATTTATTCGCAAGAACGCCGTCGTGATTGACGGCGTTAGCAAGTGTAATTTAGCGAGATGCTTGTTGACTATATCGACACGCTGTTGCGTGTCCTTTGATTGATGGAAGACACTTTTTTCGCAGACGCGCATACAGAATACAAGATCTGTTGCCGCCCGAGTTTCAGCAAATTTACTACAATGATGTATCCGCAACAGCACGTTTTTACGCGTACGATATGTAAGACTATAACGCATTCTGACCCGATTTCATAGTATAGCCCCCTCCCCCCCCCGCCCAAGCTTTCTGACCCGAGTATATTTTTGGACGAATCATCCTCACGGCATCCCAAAGTATTCAACTACTACACACACACACACACACACACACACGAGTCGGCATACCTGAGAGCGGACATGTTCCCGTGTGTGTACAAAGTTGACGAAATGACGCTTGACAGAAGAAAAAATTGATCGATACAGAAATTTCGACGAATTTCGTCGAAATGAATTCGTCGAAATGAACTCTACGGAATGAATTCCACGGAATGAATTCTACGTGTATGTATTTCTCAAAAAAAAACCGTCGAGTGTTGCTGAGAGACTTAGTAGAGATGTGCGAACTATTCGAATTCGAATCTGAATCCCTATGATTCGAATCCGAATAATTCGAAAATTTCGAATCGAAGATTCAATTACGAATCAAATATATTAGCGTGCATTATATTTGCATGCAAATCAAGTACAGAACGAGACATCTGGGCCTGTATATTTGAACCCTTAACTTGTAACTAACTTAACTTATAATTAATAACTTAATTATAAATTACTTTAAATATTTAAATATATATTTTACTTTAAAATGATATTACAATATCAATATCCCCTTTCATATTAAAACCTTCCATCATTATTATGTACATGTTTAATAGTCATGTTAAATTTTTTAATGATTCGATTCGATTCGAATTCGAATGAAATTTCATAGATTCGATTCGATTCGAATTCGAATTAAAAAGATGAGATTCGATTCGATTCGATTCGACATAAAAATTCTTGATTCGCACATCTCTAAGACTTAGCTTAGGAGACACGTTAAAACTGGACAATGTCCGCTCACAAGATAACGCGCGACACTTTGGAGACTACACAACCTTGTAAATATTCCCTCTGTTCTCATCTCTCCGATTCACTCGCAGTTCACCCATTTCGACGGATGCTTTCAAACGCATACGCGCATAAATTCGACGTTTCTCCCCGAGTAACGTCTACCCACCATCGACCCATACACACACACACACACACACACGACTCTCCCTCAGTGATCTAAGCGACTAACGTACGCAACGCTTGTCCCCCGGTATTGAAGTTGCCTGACCACCCTGCCGCCGCCACCGCCGCCGCCGCCGCCGCCGTCGCCGTCGCCACACGAGACCGCGATTAAAATCCCGTGTCTTTTCTCTCTAGTATCGAATCGTCCATTTCCGCGAGCAACGGCCGGCCGAGAAGCGGATTACGCCGCGCGAGTCCGGCTCCGCCACTGTCTCAGCCCCAGTCACAATCGTCGAGTGAGTTCGGTTTGAGTCTAGCAAGAACCGACTCAGGCGGCCGCACAAACACCGATCTCTCCGAGACCTCCGAAGATTACGTCACTGCCAACACTTCTACGGAAACCGGGACCACCACAGGTACGTCCGCCACGACCAGCTCTTGGTCGAGACCACCGCAGACGTCCAGCGCCGCGGCATCGGCTCCGGCCTCGACCACCGCGACCGCCGCGGAAGGCAGCTCCTTCGAAAGTGCCAGCTCGATCTACAGCTTGGCGAGGAGCGAGGTGAGAAATCGCGTCGCTTGGAGCCGTCACGTCGATCATTCGATGACTCGTCTCTGTCATCATCCAATGATCGCCGGCCGACTCCGGACAAACTCGGAGAATTCGGAGAAACAGCAGCACCAAGCAGCTCTCGCGACTTTGTTAATTTCATCGCCAGGCCGTCGTCGAGGAGCCGTGCAGCCCGCCGCCAATTTTAGAGGAGACGGAGATCGCGTTTGGGCTGGAGATACCTCCGTCGGCGATGAGATCCAGCAGCAGTAGCAGTTCGGGTAGCTACGACCTCAAGGACGCGATGGCCGACCCTAATCACGAGCTGGAGCAAGTTGCTCCGGCCAGCGGTCACACCTCGGAGACTGAGTTGGACCGAGACGTGAGTGTACGCGCAAAGAGTGTCGCGAGAGAAGAAGCCTGATCGACTGAACCACGAACGATGATCGATTCTTCGCAGGAGGGTCACCGCTCGTCGTCCGGCGGCTACGCCGAGTCGCCGCCCGATGTTCGCATGTGGAGCGAGGAGGAGCGTCGTCGCAGGAAGAAGACCTTCAGCCTGGACTTCCTCGGGACCACGAACAACGTCGAGGTGGAACACAGCGCGGAGTCGGCGTATCCCGAGAACGTGGAGGTCAGCCCGACACCCAGCCACCGGCACCGGTCGAGAAGCAAGCCGGCGTCGGCTCGAAGCCCTCATCGGAACAACAGGAAACGGGAGCCTGCGTCGCAACAATCGGCTCAGCAGCAGCAGCAGCAGCAGCAGCAGCAGCAACAGCAGCAGCAGCAGCTGCAGCAGCAGCAGCAGCAGCAGCAGCAGCAGCAGCAGACCTCAGCGCTCAGCCGCAGTCCTCAGAAGGAGGAGTGGAGGGTGGAGCAGGCTGAGGACGGTCCGCACGCGCCGACGTCCGACGACTCGAGCTGCAGTCATCACTACCACATGCATCATCATCACCACCATCACATGCATCGCGAGGGTGCAGACAGCGCGAGACACCGCCGCACCCGGGAGAGTCCGCGGAGGAAGACAAGCGGTTACATCTCCACCAGGAGACGCAGCAACGAGGTACGACGCGAACCCCTCGTCCTTCGGGAATCTCGCCACCTTCTCTTCTCTTCTCCACTTCGCTCCATTATTCGATTCCTCGATCGTCACGTTCGACGACGATGCTGTGCGCAGGACAAGAACGCAGCGATAACCGGCAGCCTGCCGCGAAGGAGGTCTCGCGTCGCGGACGACATCGTATGCTCCAGTCGCCTGAGTCCCGGCCGTTATCAACGGAGTCCCGGCCACAATGGCCAGCGGGCGGTCGTCATGGAGACGCAGAGTCCGGAGGCGAGACTGAAGGCCCTGTCGGCGGAGTCCTTGAGGTCCGTCAGCCCGGGCAGCGACAGCGTGTTCTACAGCGAGAGCGCCGATCAACCGTGCGTCGCTGCCACCGCTTTGGACGCCGCGCACTGCCACCATTGCGGCAGAGAGGTGATACATTGCTTATCGTGCATTATTCATTTGTCTCTCGCTCCTCGAACTCTTTGCGCGCGAGTGTGCCTCCTCCTCCTTCTCCTCCTCCTCCTCCTCCTCCTCCTCCTCCTCCTTCTCCTTCTCCTCCCCCTCCTCCGTCCGTCCGCGTCGCGACGACGGTGCCGTTTTCTCTCCGTTCGAGAGAGCGAGACAGAGGGGAACGTTGCTCGCCGAAAGACGACGTATTCAACGCCCGATGCCGCCCAGACGCTTTCGGCCGAGCCTTTGACCGACGTGGCATTAATAAACACGTTACGGAAGTAATTTCGAGTTTCTCCGCAACGGTGAAGGAGGAGGAGGAGGAGGAGGAGGAGGAGGAGGAGGAGTCACGACGAGGCTGCAGATGGCATTTGTATCATAATCTACACGGAGACTTTCTTTCGTTAATCGGCATCATGATCTCCTCAGCAGCAGCCGCCCGCTTCTAAGCGCAGTTTCAGCGAATTAGCGTTGAGTTTCTCTCTCTCTCTCTCTCTCTCTCTCTCTCTCTCTCTCTCTCTCTCTCTCTCTCTCTCTCTCTCTGTCTCTCTCTCTTGCATGCTCACGTCATGGTGTGACTCTCGATTAGATCTTCATTAGACGCCGTGCGAGTATGCCAAGTGTTGTTTATGCACTGCCGGTGATGCGAACCGCCGGTTCTCGAAATGACATTCCTGCGATGCGCGATTCCCTTCTGCCTGTGAATTCACTCGCGCGATCGGAATTACCGCACGCACGGTCGTTATTATGCCCGCGAGAGCAGAGTCCCGCCGGTCCGTCCAGGTATATTTATAGAAAACACAATTCTCTGAATAGGCCTCTGCTATTTGGCGATTCGAGGATCGCGCTTCACACTTCTCGTACTTCGCCTTCTATCAGCATCAGTCGCGTGTGCGACCACTCTTTCCGTTTGCTTGCTTAACGCACAGCGACACGAGTCGTGCGAATGCAGATCTCTGCTCTTCAATGCGAACGAAATATCAGAGAGATCTCTGATAGTAATCGATATGGGAATGCCAAGTAGCGTCTCTCTCTCTCTCTCTCTCTCTCTCTCTCTCTCTCTCTCTCTCTCTCTCTCTCTCTCTCTCTGTCTCTGTCTCTCTCTCTCTCTCTGTCTCTGTCTCTGTCTCTGTCTCTGTCGTATCTACTTATCTGTCCGTCTTTCTGCCTCCTTTCTCTATCGTGTGTGCCCTCCTGTTGCTTCATCCCGAGGTGTCGGAAGAGATCGTTCGACCACCGGCAGGTTTCGCGGACTCGCCGGAGGGACACAGGACGTCCTCCAAGCACGTCGCGGGACACCGGTTGTACAAAAAGTTCGACAAGAGGTACAGATCGGAAGACCGCGGCGACAGACGACACCGTCGCAGCAGCGCCGGCAGATCGGACATCCGGGCGAAGTCGGAGGAAAGAGCCACCTCCCGATCGGGAAGCAGAGGTTCGATCGACGACACCGCCAGCGGCAGGAAGAGGCTGCAAGCTCGAAGCACCGACGCCAGCATGGAGATTCTCACGGGTCGGTTTGCATACGAATTGAAACTAGACTGAAATAGCGTACCCTCGTACGCGATTTCGCGATTTGACGAATAACGCGAGTCTGTCCTCCGGCCTGGATGTTATCCTCGACGGCGACAGGCAGGGAAGACGAGGACACCTACGTGGAGCCGTACACGAGCAGCGAATGGATTTACATCGGTGATCTCGAGGAGAGCCACGTGTGGAAGAGACCGGACAGCAGAGACGATGACGACGACATCACGGAGGGTGGCTTTAAAGAGCGACGGGATTCGCAGGAATCCACGGAGAGCGAGAAGAATTTCGAGAAGAAATACCAGGCGGCCACGCACAGGATGGTGCACCGAAAAAGCAGCGGCGAGATGTACAAGAGGATACAAACCAAATGCTTCGGTGAGTCTGGCCGCGCTCTATTTTTACCCCGTCGGCAGATTTAAAAAGATTTCGCTCGTAGTTCCTCGATATTCCCCGCGCAGAATTAACTCTCGTCCCGCGTTGTGCAATTTTTTACTTTACCACCGCGAGAGCGTGCTTTACCTTTTCCTTTTCCTCGCACGACCGATCGCATACGCGCGCGCGCGCGCGCGCGCGCGCACGCTCGCTGGTTATAATTAAAAGCTACCCTCCTGTACGCGAGCTATTTTCCCCGAGTCTGCCGATCTTCCGGAAACGAGTCCATTAGCACCTACCGCACACTATCGCGGTCGTTAATCATAACTACGAGTGGGCGCGGTGTTTTCCAAGTGCTCTCAAGTGTGTGTGCGCGCGAGCCGCGTTTCTCCAAAATGCAATCTCCACGCCGCGAGAACATCCGGTCGAATGACGTCCGGATGACGCGACGCGACGAAGCCGCTCCGACGTCGATTCGCGCATCGCCGAAGAATGTTCTTAAACCGTCTCGCAAAGGCATCCTGCGATAAATCCACCGGCGAGAGGGGAGAGTTGGGTAGCGAGGTAACGAGGGCGAGATAAAAAAGGAAAGAGAGAGAGAGAGAGAGAGACCAAGGAAAAAGAGAGGACAAAAAATTGCGCGAGACAAGGGTGATAAATAGATGAATGGGTCGATAAGATCGATTCCGTCACGCCCTACGACATAAATCTTCCGAGAGACAAAAGTCGAGTGGAATGCTCTGCGAAAAATCAGAATGAGTCGGAATGAATTGAGTCCGCGACGACCGCGCGTTGAGTCCGGGCGATCTATTAAAAGTGAGCACTTGAGAATATCCAAATTGCGACGGAGAGAGACGCGCCGCGCGATTTAAAAAGAGGAATCCCGTGGGGAGGGAGGGAAAAGAATTGGGTCAGGATAATGTGCGAAAGAAGATGCGCGTGAGCGAAAGACGGAAAGGGAAAGATCGGCAAGTTTGGAGAGGGAGAGGGAGAGGGAGAGAGGGAGAGAGAGAGAGAGAGAGAGAGAGAGAGTGGCGTTCTTCCCGATTCTTTAAATAAGCACGGCGTAATACTCCGTCGTCTAAATATAATCCAGCCGGCGAGCGGCCGTCGTGCGAGACGTTCATGCTCGGCTCGTTCGCGGCGAGAGGAGGAAGACGGAGGAGTCGGGGAGGAGTGATTTGTGCCCGCGCAAAGTCGACGGAGCAACGTAGCCACCGCTCGCGACCTGCTCGCGAGGGCGGCGGGGCTCGAGGGGTGCGGCGGAGTGCTGACTCGAAGAAGTAGCTTTTGGCTGGCAGTCAGTGGGTCAGGGCGCCGAGTCGCATTCCACGAGGCTGCCGGCTCGAGCTGCCGCGTCGTCTTCGCGGATTCACCGTTTCTTGTGTACACCCGCGAGAGGAGTTGATCCGCGAACGCGAGCGCGAGCGCGTCTTCCGGTGCGGAGGGTGCGCGATAGCCCTGCGTGGCACGCGAACGTCTCTCTCTCTCTCTCTCTCTCTCTCTCTCTCTCTCTCTCTCTCTCTCTCTCTCTCTCTCTCCGCCTCTCTCTCTCTCTCTGTCTCGCCGGTACCCAAGTGGAAGTGCAGAAGCGACAGTTAATTCGCGCCCAACAAGTTCTAATTGCTTCGAGTTTGCGGGCCGCGATCGATCAATCAGCGAGCGACGATGGTGTGCGACTCCGCGGGTTCCGAGTGTGCGACGGAAATGGACAAGGACGCGACATTGAAGCAGGCTCTGGAGGAGCTGCTCAAGTGTATGCTCAGGGTCTGGTGTAGGGAGGGTCAAGCTCTGGCGAGATTCGGCGTGACGGCGACAGGTAATCGGGCGCCGACGCGGACGCGACGCGTCGACTTAATGCTTTCACTCTTCTCGCCCCGATATCAGCGTCTTTCGCGAGAAAAAAAGGTAGCAGACGGCCTCTCTTCGACTCGGCTCTCGTTCCCGGAGAACGCTTGTTAATCCGCCGGCTAAGCTAAACTTTCCGCCCCGACGTGAGAAATTGAGTTGCGGTCCGCGAGTCGGACGAGCTGCTGGCTCCTCGCTAGCGGAGAGAGTTACCGGCAACTTGGAGATCGGCGAGCGGGGATAATTTGTATTAATGATTTGATTTCTATTCATGAAACTAGCGGCGGCGCGTGAGCGAATTAACGACGACGACACGTAAATATCCGTGAGGCGGTCTGCCTACCTCGAGACTCCGTGAGAAACGACTATAAAAAGTATATCGTTAAAACGCGGCTAAGACTCGCGGCCAAGTTTTAATTAGTGCGCATCTGTCAGCGTCGATTGTGCACCTCCACGCGCTACGCGGCTCGCGCCCTGCGTGTCCTCTCGCGATAAGCCGACGAGACTCCCCCTTTCATTGACGGGACGGGACGGCGTTATCGTCGACATTTACAAGCGCGGTAGGTATGGCGCGGCAACTTGCTGTCGCCTTTTTCTAATCCGATTAAAATGGGTCAAAGGGTTCATAGATGACGGGTCATACGGTGAACCTGGAACGCTCTATACACCGCCACCACGTGCGCACGTATCTCACGCCGGTTACGACGCCGTGTTTATACGTGTGCGTTATATGTGTGTGTGTGTGTGTGTGTGTGTGTGCATAAAGTTGGTGCGCACGATCAAGTCGCGCTTTTTCCAGCGTCTTTCACGTTCATGATCAAAGCGCGGACTAAAGCGGACGAGCTTGCAATGGCGCAAAAATAAAAGCGGCGCGGCTCGATAGTGTTCGCGCGCGCATTCTCTCTCTCTCTCTCTCTCTCTCTCTCTCTCTTTCTCTGCACAACGAAGGAGAGGAAAGGTCCGAGGCCCTAAATACGCTCGGCTACGTTTATAGCACGCTGACGCAGGACTTGGTGCGCGCCTTTTTGCGCGAATCTACGTCGATGTCGATCCGTTCCTCCTCCGCCTCTTCGGCCTCTTTCGATCTGGAGCGAGCGATCCGCCTGCGGCCGGTTGTGCTCGCGTGGACACAATCGTGTCGCACTATTCTCGTTGCCGCGGCCGCTCGATAGCACGTGGCGTGACTGCGAGGAGCTTAAACAATTTACCGCGCGCTGGACGTACGTACGATTCCCTTTGTCCGCCTACTAAATGCTGCTACTCGTCTAAATATAATCCGTCCAGCGACGAGACGGATCTGCATATTAAATGCGCCTAGCGGGAATCATATCGAGGCGCGTACATCGAAAATCTTTAATCTCCGCGTGTGAAATCACCGCCAGAGAGAGAATGTTCCTTTTCTAAATATACGTAAATACAAAAAGATGCCCCCCTCCCTCCTCCGCGCTCTCTCAGGGTGGCCATTGAAAAATAAAAAATATAAAAATTCAGTTCTCCGTCCGATTCCAATTCGCGCCGAAGCTTCACAGCAGCTGCTTCACTTTGCTTCCGCAGAGAGCGACAAGAGGGTGATCGTGAAGCGGGAAGCCGGCGGTGAATTTGGATTCCGTATCCACGGCTCCAAGCCGGTTGTGGTCTCCGCGATCGAACCGGACACGCCCGCGGAGAGCTCCGGGCTCGAGGTAGGCGACATCATCATGTCGGTGAACGGCAGAAGCGTCATGGACGCCATGCACTCGGAGGTGGTGAGACTGGCGCACTCCGGCACGGACATCCTGGAGCTGGAAGTGGCGAGGACTTGCAACGTGCTGGCGCCGCGTGTCGCGCGCGCAGGAGCGAAGGAGAGCGCGGAAGAGGCGCCCCTGTGCTCCGGCTACCTGTGGAGGAGGTCCGCCACGTCCAGCGCGGATAAGTGGGTTCGCAGGTGGTTCGCCCTTCGTCGTGACAACTGCCTGTACTGCTATAAGACTGACTCGGTGAGCAAAAGTCGGCGTTTCTCTATAGTCCCGTTTCCCCGCTCTCGTGTCTCGATAAAGAAAACCCGACTAGAAATTTTGATCAGGTTCACCTAACTAATTGGATAAGGACCTAATGAAAGGTAATCCTAACGACAAATGAGTAAGGAAGACCTTTATAAGGTTATAATGGGTTGGGTCCGCATTAGGACCTTAATGTATGATAGAATATGGTTCAGTTAATCAGGTCCTTGTCGGGATCTTATTCATTGTACCTGTAATATGAGTTGCATTATCAAGTTTTAACGAAACAATTTTTGGGTGAACAATTTCCAAATATAAAGATGTCTGCATTGCAAAAACACTTCAGATCACTTGAATATATTTGTAAAATGCTGTAGAAACTATCCTTTTTTTAGCAGTCAATAAATAGTTGTAAAATTAACGTGATATGCAACTTTTCTCTTTAACACTACTTTATGTGTCGTCACCTTGTGATACTTTATGATCTTGTGATATGATATTCATTTTATGTTTCTTTTCCGAAACATTTTACAAGTATGCTCAAGCGATCTAAAATATTATTTCATGCAAACATCTTTTTTATTTGGAAATGACACGAAAGAATTTTCAGCGTGTCATTTCTTATATTTCTAATGTCATCATTCAATGTAGCCGTGGCGAGTAATCAGGAGCTATCAGGAATTTGAAAAAGAAAAACGTAATAAGGATTCCATAAGGTAACTCAATAAGGACCTGCCTATGAATCCTTACTAAGGTCCTGACGATCCACGCTGCGTCACATGACTTACTAGGACCCGATAGCACTACCTTATTGGGACCTGATGTCCAAATGAGGTTAACCTGATCAGGACCATGGGATAAATTTCTAGTCGGGTATCTCTTAAAGTTGAAGAGCGCAAAATACGCGCGAGAGCTGAGGTAGAGCTGAGGCTTAGAGAGAGAGAGAGAGAGAGAGTATCGAAAATATCGGAGGAAACGTCCGACCAACGCGAATCTGTCTCCACTTAACGCGCACTTGTCGCACGACAGGACTCGCAACCGGTGGGGGCGGTGATGCTCCTCAAGTACGACGTGGAGCAGACGCCTGAATTGAGGGTGAACAGCTTCGCGATAAAGAAGCAAGGTGCTCCGACGCTACGACTGGCGGCCGATACCGAAGAAGCGATGGCCCGCTGGATTACGGTCATACGCGAAGCCGTTGAGAGGAACAATCAGGTATGCGAAGCGAATCGACGACTGCGCGAGAGCCGGCTATTTTCGACCATTCTTCCGTCCGCTATTTTCTGCCTCGTGGATATTAAGCGCCGCTTTCTGAAAACATACCGACGCGCGCGTTCAAGCAGCGGTTCTCTCGAGACTGTCGATCAATTCAGTCTTCGACCGAAAGCTCCGCTTGAGATTCTCCGTGAGTCGTCCGCGACTGTGTGTGGTTGTCTGTCTTTTTTCAGATCGACACTTGGCTGGACTCCTCGATGAGAATGAGGGAGATGGCCGCGTGCGCTGTTCAGAGGCCGGACTGTTTCGGTTATTTGAGCAAGCAGCAAGAACACGCACGAAAAACTTCCTCGCCCACCGGTTGGTCCCGGCGGTATTGCGTGCTGAAGGACGCCGCGCTATACTTCTACGACGACGCCAACGCCGAGAAGGCATTCGGCGTGGCGTGTCTGCACGGCTTCAGGGTGCACAGCAGTGCGTCTAGTTCAGGCGGCAGGAAGCACGCTTTCGAGCTGCAACCGCCGGACCCCACGCAAAGAAGCTATATCTTCGCTACCGAGTCGGAGATGGATAAGAAACGGTGAGAAAACGACGACGACGACGACGACGACGACAACGACAACACTCGACTGCCCCGCTGACGATGCCTGTCGATCAACACCGTCGTCGACTGCCACGCGTGTTTTTCCGCTCGTTATTTCAGCGCTCACATCTCTCGAGTCGAGTTTCAGCTCGGCGAAGGATGAGCTAAAAAAAGCGCGATCTACGATGCATCTCTAGGCTCTATCGGCTAAATACTTCACTTGTGCGCGACTTTGTCACGTTTTACACACAAACCGGTGAGACGCGACAAAGTCGGAGAGCCGGACACGGTCACACACCGGCATGGCAGTCAATGTGAGTTGACCAACTTGAGTCTAAAAGTCGTGTTTGTCGTTTTACAGGTGGTTGGCCGCCCTTGAATATTCGATCGATCGATGGATAAAGATAGGTTGATGCGAAAGAATCCGCCCTACGATGAATCCAACGAGTCGCAGCAGCGAAGATCGTCGTCCAAGGAAATCCTCGTCCGTACCCTTTTCCGGTTCCTAACCGCGTCTCCGCGAATCGTCCGCGACGTTCGCCGGATATAATCGTCGCTCCGTTACCCGGACGATATCGCCAAAACTCGTGGATGTCGCCAAAACATTATCATTTCAACGACATTATTGAGTCTCATCGTCATCATTGATCATCATTGTAGCTGCTGATTAACAGTGACGCTGAGTAAAGGAAAAATTGTTCAAATAAAAGAAAACAGTCAACGCTGAAAACGCTGCTAATTTGTGTCTCATTTTCGTGCAATCGCCACAATCGTCGTCGTCATCGTCGTCGTCGTCGTCGTCGTCATGTCGTCGGAATTGTTCATCAGCAGTAATACGATCGATTCCATCGAGCAGAGTCATTGAAAAGCGGTAGCACATCACACCGGTGAATTCGGCGTTTTCAACGCCGACGCGCGAAAGACGAGCGAGCTTCTCTGCCGCGCCGTCGCGAAAACGCGCCTCCGCATCTCGCTCGCCGAGATCGCGCCGCGACTCGGTTTCGCGATCGGACTTTGCGACTCGTCGCGCGTCGAGCTTTCAACCCGATCAGTCCCATCCGTCATGCGCTCATCGCACACTCCATCGTCGACACGGCGACGCGCCAGCAACTCTGATCAAAAAGCGAAAGCTTGTACGCGAACTAACGAGTAATTACGCGCGAAAGCACGAAAGCGAAACCCATTCGGTACAGAGTACACTGCTGTTCTCGCGACGATCGTCGAGACGTAGGCTCGAGAAGTCGTGCCAAAGTCGTTTGTCGCTGAAACTCTACACGCACACGAGGACGACTCTGCGGGCGCGGAAGAGTGTCTTTAGGAGCGAGACGAAGTTCGCATCTCAAAGATGTTTAACCGTGACGGCGGTGAGCGGCAGGCGGGAGAGGAACATTTCGTGCGAAACGCATGCGGTACGTGCATGCGGTGTAGTAGCCCAATAGTTGTGCGTATGCGGCACACATGTGCACGTGGAATTACTATACAACTATACACGTCGCTAATTCTTACCGAAAACGCCAAATATTTGTAAAGAAATTTCGAATATATCGCGCGAATATATTCAGTCGAGACGCGAGTCGCGTGCGTGCGTGCGTGCGTGCGTGCTGTAGGTTGTGAGTAAACTCGTGCATGCGTCACCTGTGCGGTAGAAAGTGAAGATACCATTGGTACACCGAGGAGTTTCTGTCGAAAATCTCATCGCATTCTCGCGCGGGCGCGCGCGCGCGCGCGAGGATGCTGGCGTACATTGTAGAGAGGAGACAGACAGACAGAAAATCGTACACCGGCGCATCAGGTTCGGACTGATCCTGTCCGCTTCTACCGGCATATACGGGGTGTCCCGGAATTGTCTGGCGCATATTCGACGGAGGGTCGTTGCGGAAGCTGTGTGAATAGCTCGATTCAAAGGCTCTTTATACTTTCAGAGAATCTACCTGGGAGAATTTTTGACTCGCGACGCGCGAGAGGGTCGTCGTTGAGATATGCACGGATAATTCAGAGACACATCCCGTCGTCGCACATTTTCAGGCACACTTCTCACTTTTCAACTTTCTTCGGACAATATATATAGCACAGACAAATTATACAAGCCCGTTTCCTCTCTTACGTATGTTTCTACCGGAGCGTGTTTATTCTCTCGTGCGTTGATTGAGAAAAATCTCGGGAATTGATGCGAAATGAGACGGCTGGATTCTCCACGTGTCGCAGCGAGACAGAATCGACGGATGATGTAGAGGATCGAGAGGACAAAGCGCGCTGAATTTAATAGCGTCTTCGACGAGCGCGCGACCGTCGCAAACACGAAGAGGGAGCGAAGAGAGAAAAACAGGAAGGAGACGCAGGCGCGAGGAACAAGGCATATACCGACGATATTGTCGTTAGGAAGTACATTGTTTCACGGTCGACGCGTCGACTAGGGTTTTATTAGAGAACGACGCGCGTTCCAAACGAAAGCTTGTGTGTCAAACTGAATGGAGCCTGGTCAAACGCTCAAGAAATCTCAGATAATAAAATAGAAGATTTAATACAATCCCAGAGAGAGAGAGAGAGAGAGAGAGAGAGAGAGAGAGAGAGAGAGAGCGAGAGAGAGAGAGAGAGAGAGAGAGAGAGAGAGAGAGAGAGTGTGCGTGTGTGTGTGTGTGCGTTTGTGTGCGTGTGTGTGTGCGTGTGTGTGGCCGTGCGTGCGTGCGTGTCATTTCCCTGAATTGAATTTTTTCACTCGTCTAATGTCCACGAAAGCGCCAAGGCTGGACTGAAGAAGATGGAGGATGGGCGCCGATTTCGTTCTCGTTACCACCGTACCGTACGATATTTCCACGCGAGGCGTTCGCAAAGAATTCGATTGCGATCGTATGCGTAGCGGCGGAACAACAACAACAACAGTTTCAATGGCCGATTCCGCTCGGTATCGGCGGTACCGGGCGATGCGCGGGCGCGCGCGCGCGCGTGAAAATCATCATCGGGAATTATGATTAAGACTCGACGTGGCGGCAATCGGAGGGACCGATCGATCGAACACATCCGTAGAGAGTCGACGGTAACCGCCGCGAATAGCTGAAAAGCCGAGATCTCAATTACGATGATCGCAATGAAATATCGCGAGTGAGATTTTTAAGAGCTTGGCACACGGCGCGGCGGTGCGGCTGATGCGCGCAGATAAATTTGGGTCTTGCTTGGGGCACGTTGCGCGCTTCGTCCGCGGCTGGGCCGCCGTGGTATCCGTTTGATAGCAGATAGCAGACCGAACGATGCTGGTATGTTCTCATTACGCGTCGTGTAGGTATGCGGCGGCCGGTCCGTGTTTCTTCTCGTACTTCGAGGTCTGCGCGCTGCTGCTGCCGCTGCCGCCGTCGTTGCTGCTGTTGCTGCTGCTGCTGCTGCTGCTGCTGCTGCTGCTGCTGCTGCTGCTCCTCCTGCTGCACGTCGCTGCATCTCACTCGGCTCTTCTGCATCGCCCCGCTCTCTCTCTCCCTCTCTCTCTCTCTCTCTCTCTCTCTCTCTCTCTCTCTCTCTCTCTCTCTCTCTCTCTCTCTCTCTCTCTCTCTCTCTCTCCTTCCCTCGCCCGGCTTTCTCTTCCTTCGTCTTTGGCGCGACTACGTGGTACAAGCGCTCCCATAAAGCGGTATTTCCACCGTGCTTTCCGCCGGTGGACTCGCGCCGCGGCGCGGCATTTTCACCCCGTGAAACCGTAATTATCTACTCGAGGTGATTACCTCTCTCGCGGGGGTGCTCGCTCGCTCGCTCGCTCGCGCGCGCAGCGGCCGGATGGACCCGTACCTGCTTGCTAGCGCGCGCGCGCGCGCGCTTCCTCCCGGCCGAAATTCCACGGCTGATTCGACGGGTCCGGTGGAATCCGCACTTAAACGCTCGTCGTCTCTCTCTCTCTCTCTCTCTCTCTCTCCGCTACAACTCCCACCTCTCGCTCTCTGTCTCTCCCTGGCGCGATGGTGATCTCGATGACGTTGCTGTGGGCACGACGGCGCGCTGGCTGCGCGCTGGTAGTGGTGGCGGTAAGATTGTGAGCTTGCTAGTGATGGAATGAATCGGCGAGGCGAGAGGAGAGGGAACTAGTTCAGTGAACAAAACGACGTGAGAGGCAGTTGCACGCTGTAACAACGCCTCAGCTCGGCTGTGTACTACTCGCGTGAGCGCGGATGAAGAGAGAGAGAGAGAGAGAGAGAGAGGGGGTGGGGGAAAAAGCGAGAAAGAAGAAGAGAGCTCCAACCCTGATATCCCATACTCTTATATGCGCGCGGCATACGTATAAAGAACTCTTTTAATTTTGTATTAGGCTACCTCCGAGCGAGGTTTAACGGGCCGCGGTGAAAGAACTCTCGCGCGCGCGCGCGCGCGCGCGCGACACGCACTAGATACGACATTCGCCGGTCGCGCTTTTGCACTCGCGAGCACGTCGACGGAAAAGTTAGAGGCGTGCGCGTGCAACACGTCTCCACCGTTACATTGAGCGCGCGTTACACTCCCCTTCTTTCCCCCTTTCCTTTCTTTTTCCTCCTTTTAATTACAAAGTTATCCGACGCTGTTCCAACGAATCGAGAGGCGAGACCCGAGACTCGAGCGGCGGCCGAATATTTTCGCGCGACTTCTGCAATATCGAAGGCTACGCTGTTGACGCGACGAGAGTCAGCGAGCGCTATTATCCGCGCGCGCGCGTGACATCTTAATCAGGGTGGTGCGGCGGTTTCCGTTAATTAGCGCGCGCGGGCGCGCGGTCGTTGAACAAGTCTGAGAGAGGTGAGACGTGATCCATCCGCACGATCGCGCGAGCGGAGCCTCGAAAACAATGACGCGCCGCCATTCACGCGCGCTGCATTCCGCTACAACACGGGTACACGACGCTATGCAAATACGAACACATATCGTCCATTCAAGGCGCGATTTTTTCCCACGTGAGAGAGGATAGTCGTCGGAGGCTGGCCTTGTACTTGGCGTCTCGACCTTTTGGGTAAAAGAGAGATGACGTGCCGTCGTCGTGCGCGGCGTACCGTTAGCGCGCGCGCGCGCGATTTTGCCGACCGATTCGTCAACGTTCCTCCGTCTCTTTGTCGTCTCCCCTTTCACGTTCGCTCGCTGTCGGACAGAGCGACAGAGTCGCGAAATTCATTTCGCGACTCGCGATTCCGTTTGAAGTTTGCCCGGCTTTCTAGCGCGCCGCAACTTGCGCGTCTCGGCTCGAGCCTGTAACCGAGCACCGGCAGCGCACGCCGAGAGCGCGGCTACGCTCGGCTCTCAAGAGCTGACAAGAGGCATAGAAATGCGCGCTATTAATTTGCATACGCCGCCGTCGTCGTCGTCGTCGCGTACGCGTGCTCTCCTCCGCCTCCGGAGAGGAGGCGCGCGACGCCGCGCCGCGCCGTCCGTTTTGGATTTTACGACGCTCACGTGCGTTACCCTTTCTCGCGGAAGGGTATTCTTCCCCCGAACGCTGCCCGCCCGAGTACACGTAATTTTCGGCTGCGCGTATCTGCAAAATGCGCGCACGTCGCACTCGCTCACACGCGCTCTCCTTCTCATTCTTACGGCCGGGAGCCGGCTCGAACGAGCCTCGTGGGACGCCTCGATAAGCGAGGTAAGAAGATCGCGAAAGCGAGCCGAGACGCCGTTCACCGAGTTTTACACGCGCAACACGGATTTATCACGCTCGCAGTCGTGTGATAAAAAATCAATGCGCAATTACGGAGACATGTTCAGCAATTGCCGCGGTGGATAGTACTTTCGTTCGCTGGCCTTTTATCCCGCGACGTCGCTGCGCGCACACGTGCTCAGAATTGCGGCACGCAACTTTTCTCCTCGCGCCGCCGCCGATTTTTATGCCGATTTCGATGCGGCACGGACAAGTGTCGAGAGAGAGAGAGAGAGAGAGAGAGAGAGAGAGAGAGAGAGAGAAGCGGTAGCTGCCGAGTCTCCCAGCGGATCGACGAAAGAGAGGAGAAGCGTCAAGGAGAAGAAGGCGAGCGGCGTTATCCCGTAAATTGAATTGTCCTTCAAATCCTAATTAATCGATTAATTCGACAAACA